TTCAAGATGAGATTAATAAAGTCACCTTTCAGTGAAACAAGTGAAAAAGAACAGAGAACAGTTGTAATACATGAAGCTCCTAACAGTGAAGCCCTACCACTTAACTTCTAAGAAATAATGTCAGTGTAAATCATGATGTGATGAATGCTTCACTGAAATGATTCATGCCATATGGTCTGAAGAGCAAAACGGGCACAGTTTATTTTTAAAAGAATGAGAAATATGAACTTGGAATATTCATTGCTTTGTCCTGCCAGGCTGAACATTTGCTGTAGCAGTGGCAAGACTTACTGCAGGTCTGTCTTTTTTTGCTCACTTAATATGTTGCACTAGTATGAGGTTTCAGTCTCATTCATAATGAAATAATGTCCACAAAATTATGATCAGTATTCCAAAACCTCTTCTGCAAACAAATGTTCACAGGGCACCTACAGACTAAATCATCTTCTCACTTTCTCTTTAAATAATCCATGAGAAACTTCAGAAGTAAACAGACCTCATGGTGTAATGACTATCTTGGTAGTGAGAAGACAATTGAGTCCCTGACAGAGGTGAAATGTGCTGATAATACCATGAGTCGCTCAGCTCTCCTTTTGTAAAGCTGCTTACGGTCAACACCTTTCTGGCTATATTGTTGTGTATTAACATATTCAGTGTGCCTTATTCATCTTATTCCAATTCAAGGACAATGAAGAGCCAGTGTCTCCTTAGACAAGTACTGGAAAAGGAGGGCTAGTCAGTATACTACAGTCATTGTGCAAGGTGTTGATGGTTGCCCAGTTCTGACCTCTCCCCCACCATTTGTGCAGAGATATGTCCCCTGAAAAAGCAGTCTGAGAGCAGTCCACTTTCAAGAAATTGCAATTTGCATTCTGCAGAATTTATCACTGCGTGTAATACCTTGAAAAAAATCATTTTGGATTGAAAGCCTTGACATCACAACTTCAGGTGGCTTGGTTTGGTCTGTGAGATGTTATAAGGGTGATTTCTAAATCAAATGTTTATGATCAGAGGTCAGCTTCAGTTTCAGGAGTGTAGCCCTTAAACTAATGGGCAGGATTCCTGTAGCTAGCATAAATACACTCAGGTTCAGTGATGTTAGTATACTCATCATTCACATGTACTCTATTTGCAACAGTGATGTAATTTATATATATATCAATTTTAACTTGCAGTCTGGTTCCACAATGATGTAATTAAGTTGATACTGCCTGGGGTGGGTAGTCCCAAATAATCTGTAAATATAAGAAGGATTTTATAGAAGGATTAAAATCAATTTAACATTAGCTTTTAAACAAGTAAGCTACAGATGTTTAAGTGTCCGCAAGTCTGAGGAACAGTGCCTATTTTTTTAATAGGTTGAAAGAATGGCTAGTACTTTTTTTTACAGATGGAAGTTGAAAAGGTTTACAGGGTTAATACATTAATTTAAACTGATAAACAAATATCTGTGTAAACAAATTATTTCATTATAACAATTAAACCTGTTATTGATCTGTTTTAAATTCAATTAATATAAGCTTCTTATAGCGACTTGAGCATGCATGAAGTGCTGTCTTCTCTCAATCATTTTTAAACTCTTTTTAAACAATACAGCATTGCACGTAGGCAAGCTTGTGTTAGAGAAAAGCATTTATTATGTACCACGCACAACTCCGACTCCTATGACTCCCTCTAGTGGTCAATAATTTTCTGCTAAACGTTTCTTAGTACTACAGATTGTACCTCTTCTGCACTAAAGAGTCTCCTCTTTTGAATTCAAGAGATCCATTTTTTTATTCCTGTGCTGCATAGGAGAAGGACAAAACAACTGAATCTTTCAAGATGGGCAGCTAGTATATCTGTGGGAAGTTTTACTTTCCTTACTAGGAGCAGACAAGTTGCATATACCACATACCAGCAAAAGCCTGCTCTGTTGGCAGCGCATACCGGGAGGTGACTGATCTGCTGCAGAAGGAAGCAGTCCTTCCACCCTTCCACCCCACCCATACTGTTAGGCAGTATGAGAATGCCTGGTGCCCATTTGCAAGCCTGGCAATAGGAGCACCTCTCCTGCAGTTTTGAATAGCATAACAACATATGACTTGTCATATTCATACAAGTAGTTTGGTAAGTGGCTGACATTTACCTTGGCTTAACGTCAATAGGAAATGGAGTTATGTAGTTTGGGTTTTCGTAAGATTACAGACAACTTGAAATTGTAGAGGTTTAATATGAATTGGCAGAAGATGTACCCCGCAAATTCCTATCTTCACCTTGCTTTCAACTCAGGGTACTCTCCAATATATTTAAGAGAGGTGTAGACAGCAGCAGCTGCATGCTGAATTAAGATGCCATTTTGTATCAGTTTGAGTTGATTCAAGTCACTACTAATCCAGTGCTATATTCGTTTTCTAACCTTGGCTGTGCATTTCTACTCCTTCCTCATGCCAGCTCTGGGACTTACATGACTGCTGAGGGAGATGGCTAACTGGCAGACTAAGGAAAATCCTGACAAAACCTGAAAAGTTTGAGGGCACTGATGACCTTGTTGAAGCCACATACGCCTTTCTTGTGAAAGCTTGTGAACAGCTGTGTGCCAAGACCTCTTCTTTTGGCATTCTTGTTTGTCTATTACAAAGGGCAAATGCAAAGTCTACTCCTGTGGGATTAGGCTGCTACAAAATATTTTTTAGCCATCTTTATCACAATTTTTTTCCTCCCCTGTGGATGGGAAACTCAGGAATGGGCAAGGAGAAAGCTGTGGACTGAATAAACAGCGGATTTTTGAGAAGGTGTTGGGCAACCTAAGTGCATGATCACAACAAAAAATGCCTTTTACCTGTGGTTCTCAAGACACAATTTGTGAAATTCAAACTTCCATTTCCTCATATACATAATACCTCTATTATACAGAAAAGTTAGGATTAAAAAAAATATTGTGGAATTAAAAGAGCAATTGATGCATGTACTTGGCTATCATATATATGCAACATTATCAAAAGACAGTAGGAGAAATCAACAGTTTATGTATTGTCCTGTGGTACAAATTAGCAAAATACATTTATGGCATGTAGAAAAATTTATTAAGAGAGACCCAGGGAATAATGCTGCCACCTACTTGTACCACACAGTACCTCTTAAATTACCATATTACTTATCAGGTTTGATAATTATGTTATGCTAATTTCACTTCTAGTTGTTCTTAGTTCTTTTTCTTAGCATGCACTGTTGGGTGATATGAAAACTACTCAGTTTCTCAGACAACTGTGCAGTGATGATTCACTGCAGTTAGCATCAAGATGCAACTTCAGAAAAGAGAGGGAAAGAAAAGTGGCTATTTCTATTTCTGAATATCTTGTTTAATAATAGGATATCCATGTTGCTTAAACAGGAGTAACAGTTCTTATTTTTAGAATCTTTGCTCTCATATACATGTTCCTTCATTTAGAAAAATTATGTTAACCCATTTGAAGCAAAAATCCTTTTGAAGCTCAGTCATATGGAAAAAGACATAGTTAAGAGTTGTGAAAGAGACCACTGAGTTGCTGGCACTGATGTACATCATACGGTCGACATAACCCTATCAGACTTAAAGATGCTCTTCTTTGCACCAACTGCCGTAGATAATGTTTTTAATTCCTAGATTTCTGTCTCTCTGTGTGAGAGGATGTCATGGCTGTCCTCATTCCCAATTTTTTTAAAGCTTAGTACGCAATAAAGTCACATCTTCTGCTAAATGGAAATCATTCAAAATAGCTGCTTCAAAAATGGTGGATATTTTGCTTGTTATGAATATCAGTGTTCTAACTACTTCCATCTGATTGCACATCTTTACAGCACTTCATCACAGATTCAGATGCTGGGTTTTCTGAAGGTCTGGATAAGGCAAGACTGGAAAAAAATAATTTAAAAAGTTGAATTTTCATTCTACTTAATAGGACAGATAGGAGCCTACAGCTGAACTACATGAAATAAGAAACTCTGAGAAACTAATGCTACAGTATGATATTAGAAGGAATTTTGGGCATGCTTCACCAGAAGTGGCTGGGAGTAAGGGATAAAACAGAGATAGTCTGGAACCAGTCAGTCAAAAAAAAAAAAAGCTGGCACTAGTTTATGTCTCTCTCTTAACACTGCTGTCCCTAAGAAAAGCTTGGAAATTACAAGCCAGACATCTCTAAATAGAAGACAAAAGAAAATCAATGCTCAAGCAAAGACAACGTGTTTTGGGAAACCTTCCTTCCAGTTTTCCAATTAATAGGCCTAACAGTACTGAAACTGGAAATCCCTGCAGGCCACAGGACTGGAAAGTGATGTGCTCAGAGAAACACAGTGAGCCATCCCACTCTACTATGTGCAGCATGTAGTCACACACGGGCAGCAAAGCTCTGCGCTGGTTCCAAGGTCTTCATCACAACAGCCACATCTGGCCGGAAATGCTGTGTTCCTCAGGCAGGAGCTGCTGGTCATGTTCATAGCTGGTACTACCGCCTGTGTTTGTGCAACACAACCCTCCTACCCCAGCTTCCCTCCGTAATTTATCAAAAATATCATAAACAATCTGGATTTTAACCTCAACCAGGCTCCTGGAGCCTGGTCCCCGGAGTTCAAAATCGGCAGGGGCCTCGCGGTCGTGGCTTGCACCACCTCGGGCAGAGTTTCACAGTTCGAAATTTAGAGAGAGACCAGAAACACCGGACTGGTCCAGGCCGAAAAACCTGCTTGTTTTACTCACATAAAACCCCTGGCGGTAGGGGGTAGGTGTCGAGTGAGCTTGGGGCCCACGCTGGAGCAGGACAACAGGGACAGCCGCAGGGCCATATCAACCCGGCCAGGGAACGGTGAGGCTGCTGGGGCGCTCCTCACTGAGGCAAGAATGCAAGGCCCGGCCTGCCTGGCAGGTCACCTCCAGCCGCTTGCAACTCGCCGGCACAGGGAGACCCTGCAGCCCCTCAGAGCAGGGACAGCCGCACGGAGAAGGGGCGGGGACAGCCCGGGGCCGCCTGCTGGGCCTGGGGCCCAAGTCGGCAGCGGAACGCAACGGCGGGCGCAGGTTTGCGGAGGGCCGGTTTGAGCCGGGCACAGCGCCGCGCGGAGGGCGGCGGTGAGCCCAAGTCGAGGTGCCGGCATGAAGGAGCTGGCACCCGCCGTGAAGATGGAATGCGACATTTTAGATGCGCTGGAGACCCTGGGGTAATCGGGGGTAGCAGCGGCCCCCCCCTTTTGCTGGGAGGGAGGCCGAGGGGACCCCGCCGCCTCGCTGCTCTGCCGAGCACAGAGCGGGGACCCATCGCATCAGGGAGGAGGTCGGGCCCGGGTCGGGGGGCGGAGGGGTGCGGCGTGGGGCAGAGGAACGGACTTCGCGTTCCGGCGGGTGCCGGGGAGGCCCGGTGGCGGCCGTGGCTGGGCCTTTACCCTCGCCTGGAATAGGGGTCACAGCATCTGCGTTGTTCTTACCCTGGTTGTAATGGGGGTTAGGAGAAGGAAGCGCGTCTGGACGGGTGTTTGCTGGGTTGCGGGGGTGGGGGGGGGGGGGGGTGCGGGGGTGTTGAAAGCGGCCGTGTGGGTGGCCGGGCCTCACACTGTCCGCCCGGCTTCAGCCCGCCTTGAAGTGCTGCTCCAGGTAGAACAGAGCAGAAACAGTGTAAAATTGAGTTCGTTTTCTGCTATCGTATTGCCAGTGATGTCCCAGAAGTACATCACCAAGATAATGTTGTAGGGAAATTTGTTTGACTAAACACTCACATTCTTGTCTGTTCAGCATGGGCTGAGACATGAAACTGTTTTCATGTACACATGATACGTGCGGATGCTTGCCTCCTGTTTTCTGACACACCATTTTGTTCACCACTCATTTATTGGTTTGTTTAAAAAAAAGTCTCAGTTATTCCTTGATAAAAGTAACTTAAAAAGAGTAATTACTTCCAGTATGGTTACTAACCAGCTTGTGGTAAAATGTTTTTAAAACGTATATATTTTATGGTAAGCTGGTTTCATATCAGTAATGTTTCTATCTCTCTGCAGGTACACTGGTCCTCTGCTGGAGGAGGGAGCCCTGAACAAAGCAGCAGAAAATGGATTGTCTTCACCAGAGTTTTTTGAGCTTTGTGTTTGGTTAGGTTCCCAAATAAAGTCACTTTGTAATATGGAAGAAAGCATCACTGCAGCAGATGGTGTGTGCATTTTAATTTATTAATGCAGTTTAGTATTTGCTCAGTGGGTTTAGGCCCATATTGTTCAGCTGATGGTGAATTTACAGTGTTGAAGTTTAGCAGATAGAGAAAGGGTAGTCAAACAGGCTTGTATTTGTGTGGATGTGGCTCATAGATTAAGTCTTGTCTTGTGAAGTGTCTTTCAAAAGAAAAAAGGTGCTCATGGTTTGGGTTTTTTTTTAGATTTTCGTAAATATGAAAAGTATATTCATGCATCCTTAATTAGTTGTTTTATGTAATCATATTTTAATGGAATCATTGTTGGAAGAGACCTTAAAGATCATCTAGTTCTAACGCCCTTGCCATGGGCAGGGACACCTTCCACTAGGCCAGCTTGCTCAAAGTCTCATCCAGCCTGGCCTTGAGACTTCCAGGGATTTTGATGGCTTAAATTCCACTGCCTGATATTTTCAGCTACTTGGTCCAGTGCAGTGTTCCTTTCAGCACTGTGTGTGGATACTCGAGTTGCATGTTACCGCTACCTGATTTTTTTGAGTACTAGAACTTGGATAAGATTTGGTATTGATTGTGTTTTCACCAAAAAAAGTAGTAAAACTAAAAACAATCACTGGTAATAATGGGTTCATGACACCTAAAATTTGTTCGTCAGAAAATTAATTACATCGATATGCTGCTTTGTGACGTAAGCTGTTCACTTCATAGTGATGTTCAATTGCATCAAAGTCTTCAAAGATTCTGTGGCATCACCACCTTGTCCAAAGCTTTGCACTTGTTTGTTCCCATAGGTGATAAAGATATAGAGAGCTTCCAGCTTGAGATTAGTGGCTTTCTGAGAGAAATGGCTTGTCCGTATTCATCACTTATATCTGGAGACATCAAGGACAGATTAAGAGAAAAAGAAGATTGTCTTAAACTCCTCTGTAAGTTATAAGCATTTTTTTATTCCCACTTAGAATACAGTATTGTATGTGCATGCTCTGTTGTTATTCTACGGTTACATTAAATAGTTCTTTATCTGTATTTAAGTATATGTGTACAGTTATACAACCTACCTGAGCATGCATCAGCTCACTTGTGCAGAAACGGAAAATAGAAAACTATTAGGAAACTATTTTAGTAGAAATTAAACTTTATTTGTGAAGTATGGCTCAGCCTACTGAGGCCTCAACCCTCTCCCAATCCAGTTCCAGCTCTGCTGAAACTGAGACCTTGCTTCCTGTGTTTCTGTGAAGTTTCTGTACATCTTAAAAGGAAATGCTACCTGATTTGAAAGTGCATGATTGAGAGAAGTAAAGTTTAGGTGTAAGATGGACTTGGACAAAGGAGTAGCAGCAGGAACCAGTGCAATAATACAAAACTAGCCAAGGAACTAGGAGTCTGGTGGCAGAAGTGGGTTAAGCAGTGAAATATGATGTGTAGACTGAAGATAGGAAGTCAGGTGAGAGTTAGTTCAAGTAAGGAATGGGAAACTGATACTGACCAGTCCATGGGAGAACTGAGAGTCTCCTTTTTATCAGGGTTGTCTTATAAATGTGTACTTGTATTTGTGTATGAGAATGTGAATGCAGAAATATTCATGTGTCTCTAAATCTGCCATTATGATGCTTTTCTCTCTAGTATTTCTAAGTACAGAACTTCAGGCTTTAAAGATACTGCACAGCAAGAAAATGAAAGGCTCTCATTTGGAAAAACACAATGAAATTTACCAGGAAGTGCAAGCTATTTGCAATGCACTGGGCCTGCCAAACTCCTCATCTTCTGAAATTCCTCCCTTGTTAACCAATGTGGAACAAAAGGTATGGGCTTTTATGTGTTTTCTCAATTGTTAAATTGTAAGCATAATCTCTGAAAGCATTCTTCTTTAAGGGCCCAACAGTCTAATCCACAAAAGCCCTATCTGACAAGTGTAAAGGAATTTTTATTCTGAAAGCTGGCTTAGTGTTCAACTGTTTTGTTTTTGAGGTGAAGTATTTCAGCATTTCCCCGAGTATGTAATATACCTGGTGAGGCATGCTTTGCCTTGCAAATTTAAGGCATGAGTTGAAGTAACATAGTTTTCATGTTACCCATTCAAATGTGCTGCAGCAAGCAGAAGACTTTGGGCAATAACTGATTGTGCATTTATATACCTGTAGTTGTTTCTGGGATGTGTTTAAATTTAATGTCCTTAGCTTAATTTTTTGCTTTTTAGCGTATGACCTTCTTACTTGGAGGCATTTACTTGACAGTGCCATTTCCTTAGTTGCAGAAGAGGATGAAAATGCTTGACTTACTGGCAGCCAGAGAAGAAGCCAATTTAAGCTTTATTCAACAGGATAGCTTTTTTGTTTTTTTCAGGTCCCACCAGTTTCTAATTCATTTCACAGATGCAATCCTTAATCTGACTTCCTCATTGCAGAATGTAAATAGACTCTTGGGGTGGAATTTGTCTTCTCTGTCAGGCAGCTAAAAGTTTTGCTCTTTATTTCTCCCTAGTATTTGTGGAGAGGGTGGGTGACCGATCCACTTTAAGAATTATGGGAGATACATGGAATGAATCTCTCTGTGCTGCTGAGTAAAAATTTTGCATGATTATGCTGCTTTTTTCTTCTTCCTCCTCAGCCAGGGGCAGTTGAATATTTAGAGGTTTGGGGGAGAGGGCCTGTTACTTGCATGTTTTTCTTATATCTGTAGGACTTCAGGGTGACAAGACAGTACCTTTAATAGATTCATTTATGAAGAGCAGCATCCAGGTGGTGGTGAAGATGGCTGTTCCTGCACTATTAACTGTGCTTGATCTGTTTAGTTCTAATCTTTATATCCATTAATTTTTTTTTAAAGGATGAGGAAACAGTTCTAGTACTGTTTTGTGAGGATTAAAATGTCAGGACAGCAAGAATTACTATATTTTTATACAGCAGATTTTGAAATAAATATTTTTGTATCAAACAAATCCAGTAACTGTTTTGGTTTTAAACTAATTTTAGAGAATGTGTTAACTTCCAAAGCAATCCTGTAAATATTTTATGTTACCAAGGTCATGGATTATACAGAAGGTCAAATAGTCAAGTATATTTGTCTCCATCTAGCTTTTAATTAGTTTGTTTTTTACATCTGAGTGTGTGAAAACTTTAAGATGACTTTGCTGTTACAATTTGTTTTGCATTTTTCTGAGTAGGTTTTCACTGCTCTCTTACCTGGACAATCATTTTGTATAGTTCCCGCTACACATGCAAGCTTCTTTCTTTGTTGCGATGGTGTCTTTCTTTAAACTCCTGCTTATCCTTCTTAATCTAGGGCAACTGTTGTGTTCAGGAATGTGGGTTATAGCATAGATTCTCATATCAGTTGTATTCTTGTCCTCTGGCAGACAGGGTTATGTTAGAGCTCTTGTGTTCATAGCCCTGTCATCAGTCAAGGCTGGACAATGTATTCTGCAGCTATAAGGCAGCTCAGTCTATTTCATCATTATAGTTGTAAGATAATGTCCTCAGATTTCTGTTGATGGGAGCAGGGGAGTGAGGTGGAGATTCAGTAATCTGGGTATGACTTTATAGTGTGTCACAAACATGAACGTAGACCAGTTCATCAGTGAAAAGATTCCTCCTTAAATATTACTTGATTAATAAACCTGTTACTGGGTAAAATTACGTAGGTATCATCTTTAACTTGGAGAGAAAGGTTGGAGAAATTTGGGGGCAGTTTCCCAGTCAATAAAGGATTGTTTCGTTTAGCTGTCTTGTTTCTTCTCGTTCTGATTTTCACTGATTCTCTTCCATTATTATTTTCTCTAAACTTCCTTTCATTTTTCAGTTTGTGGCATTCAGGAGTGTGCAGTGCTGAGTTAGGTCTTTTACCTGTGATCATCTTGTGATGGCAGAATGTGTGGCTTTTTTGTATGTGGAGCCCATTGTTGTATTTACCTCTTAGCTGCCCTTGCAGCTAAACTTGCAATAATTCTAATCTCTACACAGTATTCAGCATCACTGGTTTCCAAATTTTCTCTCACTCAATAGCTATAAATTATATCAAGGATTTGTTTTGGCTTTGCTGGGTTGTTTTGTTCCAGAAGCCAATCTCATTTTGATAGACTCTTCAACTCATTAGAACCTTTGAGTTTATATTGCTGACCTTAATGGCATATGGATAGACACCTCTTGCCTAATAGGATTTTTATTTAATCTGCTGTTTATTCCTTCTGTAGTAATTACTTATTTCTTCATCCCTTGCTGTCATGCTGATCTAACTATATTGCTCCAGGTTTTGATTCTTCAGACACTTATCTAAATTCAAGTATGTTATGTGCTTGGATGCATTGAAATTTTGAAGTAAATTATGAGAGGCATCGTGTACATGCTTCACTAAAAGCAAAACAAGTGGGCTGCATTTAGAAGACAGACAAGTCAGACAACCATGGAGAAGAGCTGTGCAAAGGAAGTTCCTTCAAGAAAAGGATGTAGAGGTTTCTTGTAATGGGAGAGGAGAATGCAGTGGAGCTTGGAAGGCAAAAAGAGAGAGCACACCTCATCCCTAATTTCTGAGGGCAAAAGCTAATGGAAGAAATATAAGTAATGCTGATTTGTGGTGAATGAAAAGGTCTTAAACGTGATGTTATATGAAAGCAAGCAGGATTAGGAGAGAGAATGTATACCTGTCATATCTCCTGCCTTTCTTATTAGCATCCCATTACCAGAACTTTTTAGCCAAGTCTAGCATTTGACACCAGAACTCTTAGCTTCCAGTTGTTACCTTTTCTTAGTTGTAGGTACAACACTTAATAAGTAAAATGATTAATTTAACTAGCCCTTCTGCCTGTATGCACTTGAAACATTTGCCGTGTACATATTTTTCTATTATAAACGGGAAAAGTAGCGTGCCATAAAAGATTTTTGTATGGAGGTTAGTCATGCAGTAAAAGTATTCAGGAAATCTTTTTGTCATGGGTAAGCCAGAAGAAGCATATCTGGTTTTATGAGTCTGCTAAAAAAAATGTGCTGTGTTTGATCTTATGAGTAGCAAATTGTGATTACTGCAGGTTGTGCTGGAATAAACAGAAGTATAATTTGTGTTCTGAGAAGAAGTATGTGTTTCGTTTCAGATAAAGGACATTCTCTCAAAAGTTCAAAATAACCATGTGGGGAAGTCACTACTAACAAAACCTCTGAATTCTGAACAAGTGGTAAGTAGAAGTCTCTCAATTTCTTTTCTGTATTTAATGGGATGTCAAAATTAATGCTTATGGCCTCATCTAACTTTGTCCATTTTATAGTCAGTGGTCTATTGCTAAGTATTAATACTAAAATTCAATTGCTAAATACTGATTATGCTAATCAGATACTTCTAGAATTAATGTTATAAGGCAGACTTTTTGTGGATTCATCCTCTTTCAAAACACTTTGTATACGCATACTACTGTAGCACTACACAAATGCATCTCGAATTTGATGTAGTTCATAGTGATCATCTGGGGATTGACATCTCAGTTGCTGAGTGGGGTTACCTTTAAATTGACTTCTATAACTTTATAGATTTGAATGTTTGAATTTTTATTATAACACTGCAGGAAAGATTGGAAAAAATCAATGATGCTCTTCGGAGTGAGTACGAATGTCGCCGACGCATGTTAATGAAGAGGCTGGATGTGACAGTACAGTCTTTTGGCTGGTCTGATAGAGCAAAGGTAAGCTTGACGAATTGTTTGTTTCCTGTACGTAGGAGGCTGCTGCAGTTCCCCAGATCTTTCTACTGAATGATACATACTATGTAAATACACTTCCATTACTGTTGTCTTCTTTCCAACCAGTTTCTCATCAGTGGTTATAGCATCCAAGTCCTGGAAGGGGAAGGATTTCACTAGATGGCACAGTCTATCCTTGTGTCTGTTTATAGCTTCAAAATTATAAATTTTAGCATCCTCTGTTGGGACTTCTCACTTTAATAAGTTTGCATCTCCCCTTTTCATTTCCTATATACACCCCTCTCCAATCAAGTGAATTGGGAAGGATCTTCAGCATTTCTCATGCAGATGCAAGAGAAATATAAACACTGGGACTTAGTATGAACTGAATGTAAAGAGTCACTGCCCGTAAAGTCAGTGAGATTACAGTTATTGCTACCTGTCTTGGATTCAGATTTACTGGATGATCATACAACTACTACATACTACAGATGGTCAGTTGAACACGTTATTTAAATAGCAGCTCATGAGAAAAGCACACAATTGTAATCCTTCAGATGGCTAAAAATTCCAAATGACTCTGAATTTTCTATGTTGATATAATTTTAATTGTGAGCATTTAGTTTGTAGCACTCTATATTAAAAACGATCATGATTTAACCAGTTTGATCTTTTTGAGCTATAAATATATATTGTTTCTATTCAAGAGAGTGGGGAGATAGAATACAAAAGGTTTGTAATTTGATGAATATACATGTGGAAAGCTGAAGGCCAATGTTTTTGCTCATGAGCTGCAAGATCAGCTTTCCTTCAAAAGGTTGGTGTAGAAAGCTTAAGATGGATGTCTTAAAACTTCAAAAGCTTACTGAAAGTATGGATTGTTACTAGTCTTTCTGGTGTCACAATTTGTCGTTGACACTTGCAGTCAGAATTGTTTACATGAAGCTCACTCAGTATCACTAGAAGACAGGAGTCTGGATGCTGCTGTGCTACTTTGAAATGGCTCACTATTTTCTGCAGGCGTTGTGAATGCTTTTATGCTGCAGGAAAGGAAAAGGAGGACGTTTAGCTCACGGAAGCCAGGACAGTTTCCCGTGTGTGTGACTTCCTTATAGCTGTACCAATGCAACTATATATTTTAAAATTTAAAGTGTATTTCTGAAATGTAGTTGATGTTAACTCATGACTAACTTAGGTGAAAATTTTAAGTCATTTGATCTTACTCCCTTCAAACAATGTGAAAAACAATACAAATACACTTTTGCAATAGAACAACAGTTTAAATTTTTAATGATGGTGGAGTAATAAGATGATTCATTTTCCTATCTTGACTGTTGATGTGAAATAGTATGCAGTTACAGAAATAACCAGGTGAAATATTAATCCAAAATTACATCTTTTTTCCTTATTGTCAAAATATTTTATTATAACTTCTCTAAGAAGGTTTTGGGATTGAAATTATTTTGGCATTTTTTTTTTTTTTTTTAAGCCAAGAGGCAAATTGTTCTGCTTTTTTAATTCATTTGTTAGCTTGCCTTTTTTCCCATCATTAAATAGGTATTGATACCTTTATCTGCTTTTGATGCTGTGGTGTTCTTTTGTGTGTGCTATAGTTTGGATTTTTTTTTTAACTTGTTCAGTCCCTAAGAGAGGTAAGTTTGCAGACTGAAATGGATCCATAAATGGTGTAGTAATTGCCTGACAAAACAGTCAAGTAAAGGAACTGCACCTGTTGTCTGGTCCTCCAAGATCCAGTTTTACTCTCAAGATCACTCTAGATGTCCCCAGAAAGTGTATTTATTTTTCTTTTTTGTTAAACAAATGAAATATCAAGGTATGTTTGGAAAAAGTCTTGCTTTTTCCCCTTCTCAGTCTTCCCTTTTTCATGGCTTGCACAAGTGTTCTGCTGCATGGATACAATTCATTTTTTTTCTACAAGTTGATCTTGCTTTGAAGCTGCTCTGTTCTCATCACATTTAGAAGTGATCTGTTAAATATGACTATGTAAAGCTCTTAAGAGGGCAGTCTACATTTTAGACTTTAGATGTGTTGGAAAACATTAAAGAATCTGATGACAGTGGATAGGAGAGTTTCCTTTGTAATGGTGTTAATTTTAGCATCAACTAAACATCAGCATTTTTTGTACAATAGTTTCATGAGTATGAAGGGAATTGGTAACAACTGGCAGTATATTTTGTAAGATAACTTAGATTTTTAGGCATTCCACCCTGTGTTCAAATTGAAACTGAGACCAATTCATGGTTTACGGTACACGTATTTGAGTGTTTTATGCCTAGCAAATAAGTTGTGTTTGATTTTTATCATTTAGGTAAAAACAGATGATATAGCACGAATCTATCAGCCCAAGCGCTATGCATTATCTCCAAAGTCAACTATTACATTAGCTCACCTTCTTGCTGCTCGAGAAGATTTGTCAAAGATCATAAGAACAAGTAGTGGATCAACACGAGAAAATACAGTCTGTGCGATCAATAAGGTATGCTTTTTCTTTCTGGGATGTGATAAAAGGACATGGGAGTTTACAGACCTGTCAGTCATCATTCTGGAAGTACACTCTTCGCTTAATATTTTCATTTCTTTCTGTAAGATATCTGGTGGATTAAGAAAGGAAGGTTTGCAGCATTCCACTAACCATTGCGGCAACATCTTTTCATGTTATTACACATTCAGTCATGCCACAGGGTGAAACACTAGTCTAGATGAGCAGGAGCAGTATGAGGAGGTGTATGTGTGTGCATGTGTGTTTGTGTAAATGACCTCTTTGAGTTCAGTGGAACTGCATGCCTCATGTTAGAGATACATGTCAGTCTTTGTGGTATCAGCTCCTGGGCTGCCATTGCCAGGATTATGTCATTCAGTTCATAAACCAGCAGCTTTAGTGTATCAGTATATTATAAATGATAGAAGTTTCTGTGGAAGTGTCATTTTGCTGCAAAGCAAAATTATTTGGTTTAGCTACAGTAATAACACTGTACTGCTTTCTTGTGTATGATAAAAGCTGAAGCTTGTGAGTAATGGCATTAGTTTCACCATTCAAATGGTGACTAAGCCTATTTTTATTAATCGTTTACTTACAAATTTTTCCAAAGTTTTGTGCCTCATTTAGATATCTTTTAATATGTTTTGATCCCAGAAATACTGAATTTTCTTAATTATTGTAGGATCTCAGAGAAAGTTTTGGAGTTTTTTGGAGAGGACTTTAATGGAAGTGCCTGGGACTGACCTGCATATGTAAACATTCATTACACAGAAGGTTTAGGAAATACGGAAACAACAAAAAGACCTACATGGATACCTTTTTGATCTTTAACTTAATGTTTTGTTTAATTTTGTCCAGTCTCCCTTTTTGTACACTGGATAATATCCACCAAAGTCAAGATCCCTTTTGTTTTAATTTTCTTGGAAGTGTTACTTCAGCATGTTACATGCTCTGTTCCAGCCCCTAATGAGTTGTTTCTAACCTAAGGCAAACTGGTGCTCCTTTCAGAGTTGTGTTATCAATTTGCCAGTTCATGGTTTTTGCTAGCTGATTAGGTTTGAGCTTGAACTTTGAAGTTTAAGTAGAAGAGCTGCATCATAAGGAGTCTTTTCTATATGAATATATATTGCATGAATTACATATATTACATATTCATATGCATTACATGAATTATATATATTGTTTATTGTAATACTAATACTTCACATGCATGTATTTACTTCATAAGTATTTCCCAAAAGTAATATGAGCTAGCCAGCTGCAGTTACTGCAATTTTACAGGTGCAAAATTGGATCTCTTTCAGAGTTCTGTTGTGTTAGGGCGAGTTACAAGGACAGGAAATAGGGATTCTGCTGTCAAGTTCTACACCAAGGGGACCATATTTCCTGTAAAGAGCAGGCAGCATGTCTTTGTGCAGAGAAGTACCCTGTGTCCCTTCAAATTATTACTATTTTTTTAAACTGAAAATGACCTATTTTTCTGTATAGGTTCTGATGGGGAGAGTACCTGACCGTGGAGGCAGACCAGCAGAGATTGAACCACCTCCTCCTGAAATGCCTCCTTGGCAAAAGAGACAAGAAGGTGGTGGAAGAGGTGCCTGGGGAGGTGGAGGTGGGGGTGGAAGGGGCAACTGGGGGGGCGGAGGGGGTAGAGGAGGAGGAGGTGGGGGGGGGTTTGGAGGTGGGGGAGGGTTTGGAGGTGGGGGAGGGTTTGGAGGTGGGGGTTTCAGGGGTGGTGGAAGAGGTGGAGGTGGCTTCCAGAGTGGCAGGGGAGGTTATGGTGGCAGGGGAGGCTATGGTGATCCTTATGGCAGCAGAGGAGGGGGAGGATACCGAAGATACTGAAATAGTGTAAATATTAACAGTAATTGGCAAAATATAGTGGTGGTGTTTACTGGTGTCAGGAATTTAGATACATTAACTTGGGTTTAGGTTAGAATTAAGTATTAACATTACGCCAACTGATGTTGTCATTGAATTCTTTTAGTTAGCTGAGCAGAACTTTTATACTAAACTGTGATGACTAAAGTCCTTTTTTTTCGTACTGTTCATATGGTGTTTTTAATGTACTTTTATTTAAAGTAAGCCTCAGAAAACTGAATAAAACTCTTTCTAAAAAAACAGATGTTATTTAATATTCAAGCTTCTCAAATTATTGCATGTCACATGTCCACTCCCCTGATCCAAAATTCTGTGTAGAAATATCAAAATAGGCCTAAGAACCTGATGGAAACACTTGAAAAACTAGAATGCTGCTTTCAGGCTTTTTGTCTTCATCTAATTTTCATATGGGACATGTAAATGAATTTTCATGTCAGATGGTGAAATCCTTAAGGCTTTGGTCAAAATTACTCTGTTGGGTTTCTTATTCTTCCAGAATTCACGTAAAAGAACATTCTGAATTAATACTCTGCAGAAACAAATAAAATTGTGTTGTTTAATGTGTTAATAACTATATCAGAGAGGTGTAGGTCAGAGCATGTACTGTAAACTTAAGAAACATGGTGAGTTTTGATAGTGTCTGTTTTCATTTTACCTGTTTTCCATTTTATTGGTGTTTCATAAAAATCTTTTAAGGTCAGATTGGGCAGGAAACTTCTTCAGGCATCGTATCTGGTAAGAGCTCATTTATATATTCCTTCTAAATTAGCCTTGAGACATAGAGGTTGAATAAGCTGAGCTTCTTGAGAAGGCTTTTCGTTCTGGTTTGGGGGGTTTTTTCCCCTCTCTTTTGTTTTGTTTGGGGTTTTTGGTTTTTTCCTCCCCCAGTTTGGGAAAGACCAATTGTACAGCTAATAAGATATACAGCAGTTGCTCTTCCTCAGTGACCCTCTTACTCTGCCAACCAATTAGCCTGATAACCTGAAAGAAACTTAGTCTTGATATTGTATGGGTGCCTTCTCCCTCACAGACAGTGTTACTCTAGAAGAAGGAGTAAACTTTCTTGCAGTTATGGCTGTAAATATGTGTAGGCAAGAATTAAATTTAGAGCTGGCAATTAAAGAGGACAGTTTCTCTTGTCCAGCATCTTTTAGATCTCTACTGTGAGGCCACTCCTGAGTACAGAGTACAACAGGGAGATGATGCCCAAGCATACACTCGTGACGGTATTCAGGAGCATGTTGTTACGGAGATATTCAGGAAGGCATCTGGTAAACTTGGGGATGTCTGTTGATTTCATAGCACAGAAACCTTGAGGCACTTTGAGTATGGCTTCTCTGCAGGTTGGCTTAACTGCAGGTTGAATTTTAGGATTTCATTCTGCTTTTATGTTCCACAGTTACAAGTTATTTTTGCCCAAATTTCCTATCGCTGTCCATATCTGGTTTGTGTGACAGATGTTACTTTACCTTCAGGAACACATGCAGCATGTCCTGTTTCATCGGCAGCTTTATGCGTGAATATGAAGCTGTGTTCAAAATCAAATTATCTCTTTAAAAAGACTGTGTCAGATTTTGTTAATAAGACATCACCAACCTTTTCATTTAAAATTTTAATCTAGGTAAATGGCAAAAGTTTCTCTCCATTGTTTCCTCTTTGGTCATAGTCTGCCTGAGAATGCTGCTTGTGAAAGGATAGATAAGGACTTATTTACCCATACTCTAGGGTCCAGACAGGTGCCTAACAAAGAAGAGCAGGAGTCTTCCTTGCTTGAAAATGTTAGCTTGGATGTGAACTCTTAAAATAATGACTTAACTTCAGCCAATTGCTAGCAATACAGTTCCTTTGCCAGTTTTCTTCTACACTCCTTTCTGGCTTACACCATTGTCAGCCTCTGCAGTCATTATGGAGACACCCCAAAGGTTGTGCTGGAGCATACTACTGGGGTTTGTGCTCTTGCGCCTGGTTTTTGATGAATGCTCTGCAATAGCTCACAGATTGGTGACACACTAAGTGAGACTGCTGGCCATGGAGGTGAAGTGTTGGTCAGCAGAGGAGTGGAGGGAGTTTTTAACAACTGAAGCCTTAATATAAAATTCTGTTTGCTCATCCCAGTGTAATGTTTATGCTACAAGTAATTTCTGAACAGCAGTCCAGCATTTAGCTTCACCAAGGAAGCATGCTAGGGAAATCAAGTGGCTTATCTACACCTAAAGATTTTGTCAGTCTTAAGATGTGGAGATGGGCTGGTTTTAGTTCAACAGGTGTAATTGTATGTGAATGTGTCTTGGTGCCTTTACACTCATTGGTTTATCCTGTTTGTTGAGGGCAGGGTGGTTCTGAATGAAGTAAACCATAAGTGAACCAGCTATATGCCTACGTGTAATTCTAACAGTTAAATTATTTTAATACCATATTTCAGTTTTCTTTATGTAGATTATGTAGAAAATGGAAATTTGAATATGTTGGATATTTTGTTTTGATTTTTTAATCTGGCCATTTCAGTCTCTCTTTAAGCAATTCCAAAATGTGAAGCCAGTAGTTGAAAACTAAAGTAAGCACCACCACATTTCATCAAGGTATCCTTTTCTGTCCTCTGGTGTCAGAATGTATGCTTTTAATTTATCAAAAAATGCAATAATACCATGAAAATAATTGATTTAAACCTCTTCTCAAATTTTGTATGTTTTCTTGAAAAAAAAAAAAGTATTTTCAAAAATTCTGTTGTAAGCAAAAGATTTTCATATATATGTTTGTGAGCATTTTTGTGTTTATTCACGCGTAGTGAGTATCTACCTGAGTATTGTTTTGTTTGCTCAAAAATTGAAAAATGGGTTGGGGAATTTTTCAGGATTTGAGACATTTTTGTTAGCAGCTGTAAACACTGAGGAATAAAGTACTGTATTTGAAGTTACTTGCATCCCTTGTGTAGTGTTATTTGGATCCAGTGTCATATGTTCCTCTTGTGTTTGTAAGGAAGAAATCTTGCTGGTGATTTACAATGGTGATGGAACATATGTTTTATGAGATTGAAAAATTACAGATATATTTTGATCAAAATGCAGAAGGCTGTAAAGAACAATATAGAAGAATTCCAGCTGACAGGACATGTCACAAATACTTCCCTATTATACTGGCTGTGATTACTAAGGAGTCTCGCTTAAATTTTGCCTTAGTTAAAAAACCCCAAACAAACCATAAGTCTGTATGATAGTTACTGTTATCTTTACATAAACTAAGGAAATATCTCAAATTACTTCTGAAGTTTTCTTTTCTGAATTTCTGTACTTGTGAAGTAAAACACAACTTGGTTTGCATGTGCAAGACTAGAGCAGATTTGCCCACATAAGCAGAAACTGTGTTTTCAGTAGTTTGCACTCCGTGTCTTCTTCCCTCATCTCCCTCTGATGACTAAAGATAACTGAATGAATATTCATCTCCCTATGTAAAAATGTATTTTGAGATGATAAGGTATTTTGAGGGTTACTACAGCGTAGAGAATAGCAAGTCTTTAGGGTGCTACAGTACTGCATGTGCAATAGCCAGTGTTAGCAGATGCTACAGAAGCCTTGTTTAAACTTGGCTCCACATTGTGAAATCTTTCAAGAACTGGTACCTTAACAAACGTGAGAGATTATACTGATGAAGAAGTGTGCTTTGTAATACTTGGAAATGTGAGTGACAGAAGTGCCTGTACTGTGTCAAGTGCTAAAATAGGGAAAGACTAATCTGCAAACAAATAATGAGCTTCCTCACTGCTCTCTCAGGCAGTATTACCAGGGCTCACAGAAGGTGAAACGGTGCTGGGACTCTGGCACTAGGTTAATCCTGCAGAAGTATCTCACATGACAGGGTCAAGAAAGATGTATAAAGGTGGTTCAGATTTCTTTGAGATATAAACTCCGAGGCATGAAGTGCAATCTTAGTATTTTTTCTATTATAAATATTAAACTGAAATCTTAACAATTTATATAAAATCCTTACAATCTATACACTTTTTCAATCTTCTCAACATTAAACCAGTATGTTTTCAAGTTGCCACAGAGATCAGTTACATCAAAATAACAGATTGCTACTGTAACAAAAACATATTTCAAAAAAAGTTATGTAAGCTACTTTAAAGGCAGCTGTGTTTAATCTGAATATGAACGGTAGCTCTGCTTTTCTTAATTGTGATGTTACTCTATTTAACTTTAAACCATCAGAATTCACACTTTATTTAAAAATAAACAGTAGTTGGAGGGGAGGTCACTTGCATTTCCTTTCTTCCTGTATGTACATGAAACAGAGCTGAGCCTGGAGGGATAAAGGTGCTTCTCATTTAAATTAGCCATGACAAGATAAATGTCAATACCAGTGTTTGCTAACATGACTTTTAAACAGCACTTAATACTTTATCTTTTTTCCTAGCATAAAGCAACTTGAAAATTAATACAGATGTGAGTTTTGTTCATAGCTTTGTCAGTTTTAGCAGTATCCCTGCATTCAGTTTCTGCTATTACTCCTTCATGCAGCAGAAAGTCCCAAAAGAAAGAAGGGACTACCACTAAGAAAAGAAGTTAAAAGAAAAAAAAGAGGGAGGAAGAAAACTATAGTAAGTGGCTTTGGGCAAACAAGGAACCTGAAGGATCTTTGAGAGCTCTGACGTTCTTCAGGTATCAACTGACCTCTTTGAAGCAGGAAGTCTTCAGCATACATGAAGCACCATGTATGTGTTCTGTAGGACACTTCTGCAAACAGATCCCTTTTAAGTTGTTCGCATTGTTTGTTTGTAGGAACAAGATGACAGCACAGCAGAACATTTAAGTTAGCGTTTAAGACTGTACAAATCTATGGTCATAACTTGATTTTCTGTATTAACACAGTAGCCTTTGGGCCAGGGGCTGATGTTTGGGAAATATCTTTTTAAATAAGAGATTTTGTTCATGATCTCCACCCTCAGCACAGACAACGTATATACAAATACACACAAATTCTATTAGAATCCAGAGGTTAGACTACAGGCTGTCCGTTAGCTGCACAACAAGATTTATGGCTGTTCTTCTGAGGTATTTTCAAAATACATGAAAATACATTCAACTTCTATCTTATGTTGTTTATTTTAATTGTTGCAGAAACAAACTTGTACTTGCTAAATGCCTATTGAAATACGCCTTACTGTAGTTTCCCTGAATAGAGAACAAAATCAAGAAGCTTACAGAAAATGGGCAAAGCAAGTCTGGAGACCTTGAAGCCATTCTGATTGCTTCATTGATCAAAGTGCAATTCCGTGTTAATAATTCAGGTTTAGTGTATGAGGAAAAAAGCTGCACAGTTTTCACAGCTGCTGGTTTTTGTCTTACACATGTCCATTATTTACAGTAAAGTAACAGAAAATCCACTACTACTAGTTCCCTCCCTTTGTTTTTACTAATACATGAAGATGCAGGCACAAAACAAGTTCAAAACAAGAATTTCGACTCACTAAACTGGCAAGTAGTTTCAAATGGACTTTTTTCTTAATAAATAAAGCATTCATATACTTGATAAGGACTACAAATTGTGGATGGAACATACATCTATACCACTTTGAACACAAAGCACACATGCTATTGTAATAAGTTGAGTAAATTTCAATCTATAATGGACTTGTAACTTACAAGTTTTGAGGAGCATTAAGTGGACTAGGTAAATGTATTGAAGTCCTAAGTTTCTGATGTTTAAATGTGTGATGACAAATCCCTGTTTGATAACACAAGCAAGTTTTATACAAGTGTAAAGTATACAGATCCTCTTGAAACACAAATGCAGTTTTAAAACTGGCTATTCTGACAAATAGATTTATCAGTGACTTGAAAGACCATTTTGTTGTCTCTTAACAATATGTACACTTTGTAGCTTTAAGAAAACTAAGTTACCTCCCTCGCACCTTTTACTATACAAAATTTACACGCAGAAAAGTACACTCATCTTGACTCTTTACCTAAAGTGCATATGAAATCTAGGCAAGCGAAAATGGAGAATCCTTTGCTAGAACCATAAGACATTAGGAGCTCTGGAATACAGTAACTGTTGCCCTGGGATTACTGTACAGTTTCCCTCTTAATATGACCCTTGAGCTTATACTAAACAACAGTGTCCACTTAGACATGAGAGAAAAACAACCAGACAACAAGTTATCCCTTAAGCCAAATAAGTAGGGCTGTGTTCCAAGCCGTGGCATGGAACATAAAAGTGGAAACAATATTCAATATAAACTCACTGTTGCCTCATTTATTTTACGTTAACAAAGGTAAGCTACTTAAAGTAGCGGGACCTCTAAAGCTCTGACAGATGTTTAAAAAACTTGTCAGTCTATCTTAAAGTCTAAGAATCCGATATCATTAGCTTAACTACTTTTTTTACTATTCTTGTTAAACTTTGGAAATAAAGATGACAGTTCATATCATGATTTAATTGGTTTCAGCCAAAATGATAACTGTTTCTCTTAATGGAATATTTCTACAGTTTTACTTATATACTCAACTTTATTGAAAGTTTGTTTCTACAAACCTAAATTTGGGCCAAATCTGAGGAGACACAGTCTCCTGAGTATCTGTCTACTTTGTCCAAACACTTGTAGAGTAAGATGTGCTGCTGACAGCCAAGTCACTGGGCAATCCACGTCGTCGTCATGAACAGAAACTTCAGCAACAGTGTCACTCCTCTTAAAAACAAACCCAGAAGAAACTATTTTCATGGAACAGATAATGCTAAATTACCTTAAAAAGTCAAAGAAGAGGATTTATACATTTGGGAGTGTGTGATTAATATTCAAATGTATCGAGTAAAGAGACTATCTCTGTTTAACATCCTTCAGACTCTCCAGTTCACCTGGTAGAGCAGCTTTATCACAACCCTTCCTTCAGTCTTTCTTACATTCTTCCATAGGAGATTTCATCTCTTGTCTGCTAGGAGCAGTCTCTGTGTTGTAGGTTGTCCACTACATGGTTTCTTCTGTGGATTGTGAGAGATTCAATTGTTTTATGTGCCTGTTCCAGCTGGATCTTTAAACCTTCATTGTGTGCCTTCAAAATATTTCTTTCCTAAACAAAAAAACATAAAGAATGGTATTTTATTTTGAATTTGTCTCAGGACTGTCTGGTTTTATGTTTAGGTTGACTGGCATAAACATAAGTTGGTGTAGCTCTTATCAGTGGAACGGAACCAGTAATTTATTTGAATGTTTTCATAGTCACTGGTCTATCCTTTGTGTATACTTTTAGAACTTTCCAGCAGCTGGTATCTGACAGTTATGTCCACAAGCTGCATTTATCCACCCTCCACTGCTCTCATAACAGCAGTAATCTAGGAGAAACCACTTTTCTGCTCTACTAATGCAGAAATTGATGTACAGTAAGACATTAATTTATAACATCAGATGCTCTTCAGTAATTGAAGTCGGGATCTGCTGAGGGAGCAAGGACAAGTGTAAATTGTGGGACTGACATGAATGGGACAATTTAAAGAACCAGTGCTTACAAGTGCATCCCCACTTCAGATCCTTGTCTATATTGAATGGACTGTTGACTGAAAGAGAAATGGTCTGTACTGGAAAATTCTTGCTAATTGTCTTAATCTCTGTTTTAATAAACCAATCATCTTTTGTAAAAGATAAGCTCATATTATCAATAGCAAAGGATACTTTGAAAGTTACACTGAGCATACAAAGATCAGGCTGTGGTCCTGTTTCTGGACTGTTTTCATGTTTGTCTGTCTTAGAATAAAGACAGCAGTGATTAAGGTATGAAAATAAATCTGCCTTTGTCCTTCATAGCCATATCTGGATCATTCTCATTGCACTGTTGATACTGTGATAGTCTCTTTAATCTGTCTGGAAAGGTGTTTTTTTCTACAAACCTGAATTTGGGCCAAATCTGAGGTGACAGCCTTATGAATAGCTACTTTGTCAGAACACTTGTAGGGTAAGGTGAGCCACAACTGGGCTGATGCAGGTGAAATCTAGCAAGAGGCATCATGTCTGTTCACAGGAAAATTTCTTGGTGACTTAAAGTTATCAAAAAAAAAGAAAGGATTCACTGTCAGTTGAACAAAAGCAGAGCCTCCCTCCCCGCCCCACCACCCCTGGCCTTAGATATTCTGTCACTTAGGGGAGCAGAGGCTACCAAAAGCAGGAAGAAATTTAGGAGTCTTGTTACTTAGTTTACAGAATAACATGCTGTCCTAAGCGACTGGATTGTGATCATATTCTTGCTTATAACTTTTAAGACTGACAGGGATCAGTGTAATCATAACAAGGGCTTCAAAATTTATTCCCTAAGCCCTACACTAGTGCTAAAATTTATGCTTGAAATGAAGCATTACTGGAGTTAAAGTGGCTAAGAATTTATTATGCTATTACACTGGAGTAAGGTGACAACTTCCCACCCAGCCACCCCACCACCCCCCTCTCCAACCAGAATTTGTTTCATCATGTATGTACCTGCTCAAGTTCCTGGTATGAGGGTTTACAGCTATGATGCTCCTCCTTCTTTTTCTGGCTGGAGTCCTTGTTTTCCCATTTAACATATGCCTTTTTGCGGCCTAGAATTGGGCTTGGAAATGGGGATGGTGGAGCTAGCTGGAGATAAGGATTTTCTGGCATCTTATGTTCTTTCTTCTCAATCTGCCTATGAGATACATCACCAGCCAGCAGTACAGGATCAGTCTGTGTACCCTCGTGAACCACTGATGGTTTCAGTCTCACTGAGATTTTCTGAGCTGAGGAACCCATGAGCATAATGGTTCGGTCCTTACTGTCTTCACTGTGTTCCACTACTTCGCCATTAGGAAATGTAAACAGTCCTTCTTCTTGTCCTGTAGGATATATATGATAAATTGAGTCAAGATCTTATCCCAGGAAAGGAGAAACAGACTCACAGTAATTAAACACGGTTTTAAAATATAAACATTCTTTTTATGTTAACTGCTCTCCAAAATAGGTATCACTGGAAGTTTCTCACCATTGTGTCTCTCAAAACTCTTTGCATGTCTCAGTAACATAAATATGGATCAGCAAGAGGAAAACCGAGTGTGCCATCAAGATTAGCTAGAGGAAAACTTCTAGATGGCTACAGGGTTTTATATAGACCATCAGTCTTAGTGACTGGGCTGCAAAATTAAGCCTGGGTGTTAGTTCAGTGTTACCATAACTTGCAGCTGTAAGACAAAACTTATCCTCTTCATAAAGGTGAAATAATGAAATTTTTAGTTTTACACTGCTTTTGTATAGGTCATCCTAAAATACTTTTATTTGTGCAGTTAAAAGGGGAGGGGGGAAGAACCCACAATGTTAGAAGCAGTGGGTAAAAGATATGATTAAAGGATTTTAAAAAGATCTGTTTCAGACAAAGTAACTTCTGTCACTGGGAAGAAAACAAAATAAGACTGCATATTCACACACATGAGGGGAAAGAAAAAAGTCAGTCCAGTAGCTGCTGCAGGCTCTGGGGAATTACATGAGGATATGGATGAACAGATGAGGTTTACACCTTCTACCAAGACCTGAATTCTCACTCTTCAACGTGATATAGCCTTGAGAGGTACAACATTCTGGCACACTGGGTGATATGGGGCAACACACTGCAGCTCAACCTCCCTATAAGCATGACATCCCATGAGGTAGTTACTACGCAGTGCTGCAGCCATAGCAGGTGCCATCTTAGAAATGCATGTGGTCAGTTATCAAGAGAAATAGTCTGCATTATGCTAATAGAAAGCCTAAGATGGAATCCAGCACTATGAATCTTAAAAACAACACAAAAGATGGATATCAAAGTGACAAGAAGTAGATTTGAAGAACATTAGATAAAGGCAGGAGAGAAATTCAAAGAAAGTGAGTATTGAGAGATTTGGAACATCAAAATTCAAAACAAAAGTAGCCTGACATCTTAATCAAGGACAATGTTTTCTCCTTTGGAATTCTACATGGTAATACACAATATGAAAAGTTTATACACCTTTCATGCAAACTTTATACAGATGTAGAAGAAAATAAGAGAGAGTAGATTTCTGATTGAATGAAAGAGGACAGATGAAGAGGAGGAGTAGATTCAGCTGCTGAAGTGGAAAAATTAAATACAATTAGCTCCTGATCTTCCTAGTACGCAGATACGTAAGTAAACTGACTAACTGACTTTATAAACTCCGCATTAAAATCCAAGTCAGAACTGTAACAGTGCAGTGGTCAGTTAATGTGACAACAGTGGTAAAAACTGCTGAGTGTGCTAAGACCAGCTAGTCACAAGATGAGAGAATCAAGGGAACCTGCCAGCTGTTCAGTTTATCACATCTAGTTCTCATGAGACTCTGACAGAAGATTCAACCAGTTTTTGTGGCATTTGTGCAACACACATTATGTCATGTGACAAGAGATCTCCCAGAAAGGGAGCCTTTCATTACTCAGACAAGAACTGGAATGGCATTACTTGGTACAGGCTCACGCCTAGTTGTAGTTTACATGTTGATTAAACACTGCAGTTAACTAACAAAACCTAAGCTGATGCTGTACAACTCAGCTTTAAAAGGAAAAGGAGCAAAGGAAAGACTCTCTAGATCTTTTGATCTTTTTAATGTGATCTTTTCTCACCATGGAATTGCTCTTTGACTCCTACTGGGCAGAGGCTTGAAGCAAGAGCAGATGTTGGGCTGCTGTCTGGAATTGATGTTTTGGGTCTTCTCTTGCACTCTATTACAACCAGGTCTTTGCATTGCTTGTGACAGTTCATTCCACAGTCTACAAACAAAACACAGTTTACATGATTCAGTGGCTCTGTTGTAGCATCTAAGAAGATCAGTTCTTACACTGTACTGCCTCCCAAAGAAACAAGAAAGCTTCTTTGGTGTTCTATACATGTGTTACCTGTAACAGCATACATCTTGTAAACAGATCAATGACATCTCTTTACTATATACATAGAAAACTCCCTTTTCATTGTGAAAATACAAAACAGCGACATTCAGTCACAACAGCGTTCTGACTATAGGATTTGCAGAGAAAGCAGATACCTATATGAGGAAGAAAACTCTGCAAAATACATATTGTGTATGTGCTGCACAGTCTTCACAGTTTCAGCCCATTGGAATAGAAGGGTCTGGTCCCAAATCTGAATTCAGTGATGTTTTGCAAAGGGTTAAAGATATCAGTTATGAGTTCCTTCATCTTTGCATTTCTTCTGGACCATACATCTGACATACTATTCTTGAATCAGCCTTCTCCTCTCTGAGAGATCAGATTAAATAGGTCCCATAGCAATGGATCTCAGGATTATCAGATTATTATCATCAATTATAGATTAAAATTAACAAAGTATAAAGTACCTTACCTTTGCATCTGTATCCTTGTTTAATGACTCCCCATAGCTGACATTCAAACAAACAGAAAGAATTAATATATCTGTCTCCACATTGATAATGGATAAAAATCCACTAAAAGCTCCACTTATTTCTAAGATCTGAGCACCTGCAGAATATCTTGGGCTTCTATTGTTTTAGTGTTAAGGTCAAAATATGAACTATTTACCTCTTTAGCATAAGATATTTAAGAATATTTTATGTGTTCGTCAATCACAAACAAAATACCTTGAGCTAGTCTGTAATGAATACATCAGCAGACCTGACAGCCCCCAGAGAAGTTGTGGAGCTGGAGCAGATGGAAAATTCTATCTCAGCACCCTTGTCTGGTCCCAGCTAAACTGGGGATTGGTAGGACAGTAGTTTCACTAAATCTCTCTTTGCCACAGGCAGGGGGCATGTCATGTCTGTACAAGGACATGAGTTCTAACAGCCCCAAGGAGTGGAAGGCTCTGGATTTGGAAGTCTTGCCTGAGACTGACTGGTGACACAACCAAACACCACAAGGTGGGAGCTATGTTTAAATAAGTAATAGTACTGCAAGAGGAGTGTAAAGGGTACCTTAAATAGCTACACCAGACAGAAGCCTGGTGTTCCATATAGCTTCACTGGTGTTTTATATAGATCCATTTCTGTATATGACACATAGTGATTATGAGATTAAAAAAAAAGGCATTATTCTGAGCAGTGTTAACATAATTTACTAAAAGGTAAGCTTACAAATCCAGCACAGTTGTCGCAGAAAGTAGGTCTCAAGTAAGTGGTCTCTTGGAAGTTGTGAGCAAAGCCAAGTCCTAATTTGGAATAGATTGAGCTAGCCCTCATAAAGTAAGCTGTTATTTCATCCCTGCTAATCAGACCTTCCCTGAAAATAAAGAAGAAAAGCTGTTTGTGAGACACACATTTTCTTAACAGCATAAGGAGAATTAAACATATCTTTCTTCACAATTTAAAACGGAAAGAGTTTCACGGGCCAAAACCTGTAGTGATCTCGGTAATCTTGTCGACTGCTCCCAAAGTCTACAGAAACTTACCTACACATTTAAAATGCAGCCTGTAAGGATAAATAAAATATCTGCATATGCAATGCAACCTCAAAACTACTTCGTAGAAAAATCTCTGAATAATCATTATTGTATTTTTCCATGCTTCAATGTGTTAAGAATAATGTTCTTAATTTGACCAAAGTATACATTTCCCAATTCTCTATTTTTGAGGATCACATTCATTTTAGGAAAGTTCCTTAGTAGTATATACTGAATATAATTTAAAAAAAAATATATTTTTTTTTCTATTATCAGTTCTTCCTCCTACATCTGCCTGGTTACAACTTCTGTAAACTCATACAGATGCCATTCACAACACATTTAGAAAATGTTTTTGTCATATTTTCACTTCTATTTGTGGGTGAAGAGGATGATTTTACCACTGTAATGACAGAAATAAAATCTAAACACAAAACCCCAAAAAGCCCTCCAAAAACATGCTACAAAGTCGAATAGCAGGACTAGGTACTCACCAGTCCTTAGCCATTACACAAAATGAGAAAGGAAAACTGGCAGCTATCTTCTCAAATTCTTCCTGGGAAATGTATCCATCCTGATCATGGTCATAATTTTTGAAGACAGACTGTGCAAGGTAATATTAGAATGGTTTATAAGGAGAATGGACTGAATTACCACTTTAGAAAGTCTCCACAATATTTATGGATTTTCTCTCCCACTTTCTTCCAGTATCTATTAAACAGGGCCAACAGTCTAACTGTCTTTTTTGATTGAGATTAAAGAAGCATTAAGATATCTTGATTTGTAGCAAAACATAGGTAAGTCAACGTAGGCTGGACTAAATGCTTCACTACACAATCACATCGCTTTTTCAGTTTTGCTTTAAGATCATTATGTCCATGTTTACATATACAACTTGTACTAAATCCTCTCAATTAGTCTTCTCAGTGGTGATCTCTGCAGCTAAATCAGTGTAGCTGTCTGGTTTATTTCATCAGGTGAATGTTATGTGAAAAGTAGTTATATGACAGAATTGTCATGTAGACACCTATTTCCACGTTACTGTCTCTTGCCCTAAGGCAAGGAGCACCCCTAGGCCAAATTTAGAAATGTATTCCAAACCAGCATGTATCAAAGCATACCTAGCAAAATTAGAAGTGTCTAGAAGGAGAAGAGACGAAGCAAGGATGCAAAGACAAACTCTTTACCTCTCTCTGTCATTTTCAGAATCAACCACCTGAACATACTGAACGGTTTCCAAAAAAGCAGGTGACCCATAAGAGAGAAGCAGCAATGGCTGCTAGTGGTTAAAGCCACTGAGAGGCCCACTTTCAGACCAAATAACATGATGTTAGAATCCCTGGTAGAAATGGACTCCCTGACTCCTTGGAAGAATGTCACTGGCATTCACACTCCCTACTGGTTCCTTAGCTATTTAAGGAATTTCCTTCCATGCCTCATCAGCCACTGCTGCTATTTACAGCTATGCGGTAATATCTGTTTATGAGGACAGGTGTGCTTATAAACTCAGCACAGCTTTGAATGAGTCCGGTATTTTTTCCCTTCTTTCTACCTCCTCATACCTAGAGATTAAGGGTATGAGTGAAATGTAAATGGGCCAACCATACTTACATCTACCATCCTCTGAACATGTTTGCTGATGGTTTTTGGATCAGGTTTTGGGGCTACTCCTGAGGCCCAGTCTGCAACTACTGGTGGTCTGGAAGGTGTCAAAGGCTAGAATAAATTGAATGGAACTTCATTAGTACCACATGGAAAGATTTTCTGGATTACACTTCTGTCATTTGTGACAAATGGCCTCTTGGACCCAACATCATACTTTTGATAATTACATGATACGTCAGAGTAAGCTCTTCCCTGAACTGTCCAAAACAGTGGCTGTTCCTTCAATTATTACAGTTCACCAACAGCCCTGTAAATTCACAATTTTTTCCATATGTATAAAACAGGAACAAAACTACAATATAACACTCATGGGTTTCATCACTTAAGTCACATAAGAATTCTTCATTTAAAAGAATCAGTATCAATTGCCCATATTGAGCCTGATGTCATGCCTCTGCACAAGTAACTTCATTTGTGTTTGTATTCATATTATAAAACCTGATATGGTGTCAACTCTCCCATGTATTCTAGCTTAGGTTTCATCATCAACTAAACAATTTATTCTTTAACATATTCTGCTCAGTCTATAAAGGTGAAATGTTTTCAATTTAGCATAAAATAAAATAAAACAAAATAAAATAAAATAAAATAAAATAAAATAAAATAAAATAAAATAAAATAAAATAAAATAAAATAAAATTAATGCAAGGGATAAGTTATGTTAATCATTAAATTTATGGTCTTTTTCACAAAGACTCTATAAAAGCCCTTACAGCAGCTCGGTGACTTCGTGGCTCTCGTGCATATGAAAGCTCATAAATTTCATCTTCTGTGTAGTAAAGATCAAGGGACAGCTGCAATCAAACACAAAATTAGTTTAATTCCAAACCAGTCACTACCCCTTGATAAACCTGTTCCTGGTGTGCATGAGTACTTTTCTGAGGATTTTGGCAGCACCTAGAAAAAATGCATGTGAGCTGCACAGGGGTTCACCGTGATTTGAAATGGGTACATTTCTAAATTCCAGACTGTTATTGTCATTATCTGGAAATCTGTATCATTACACAGCCACAGTCATCAGCACAGGAAGTGACTGTAGGCATAATTAGCAGTCAGTTAATAAGTAACCTGAAAAAAAACATTACTTCCATAATATTCAAGTGGTCTGTTGTGCAACTAAGCACAAAAGCACCACTCCAATGAAACTGTCCATCAAGCCAAATTCTCAGAAAACTCTTGTTTAAGCTTGTCATATTTATCCAAACCAGCTGTGGTTGACTGTATTGAACTAAGAAGTACACGATGAAGACAGAAGATGGGCTTGAATATATTTAGTGAGAACCTTTAGGTCTCAATGGCAATTACATACAGTGAGAAATATTACAGCTGGGTATATAAAGGAAATAGAAAAACTCTTCAAATTTATACTTTCGGTTTTGCATATGTCCTTGAAAATAGTATAGCAGATACAAATTCCAAGCTGACATTAAAGACTGGTAACATTTTTAACTATTTGCATGAAAATACACTAGACACGATTGAATAGAAAACCCACACATAAATATGTTACAAGCCTCAATCTATAGCAAGCCCAAAGAAAGTATAAACTTGTTAAGAGAGTCAACACTACTGTAGTCATAGGTATATAAACAAGAAATCAAAATATGCTATTTTAACCAATTAATAACCTTATTCAAATTGCACACATGCAACAGCTTTCTGTGAACAACTGCAAACATTATGTTGTAGTCATAATAGTGAATAATTTTAAATTCTTAGGGAAATAAAAGTAGTTTCTGACACTCAAAAACAAATGTTCAAATGTTACTTCTATGAATTTTTGACTAATGTATGGAAGTATTAATACTTCTTCAAACTGATTTGCCTGCTAATGGGAAAGCAGATGACTGAAGGAAACAGAAGGAGAAAGACTGTTGGAAAAATCCAGGAACAAACGGGAAAGTTATGTGCCCTGAAATGCTAGCAGATTAGAAGATCCTGCTCTGAAATGAAGTATATCTCTTAATTTATGTCCTGTCATATATAGCATATATAATAAACATTTCCTTGCCTTATAGAAAGAATTGTAAGCATACTGCTGAACTGACACTTCTACCATTGCTGCCAGATAAATCAGTATCACTAACTTTTTCCTCTTCTATTATTGCACATTCCATTAAGGAAAGAAAAATATTACAGTATTATGTATTTATAATTAATAGAATTCTCTACTTAGTTGCTTGAGAGGTATATAAAATTATTTTTTAAATTGAGGTATTTATCTCATCTAACAGACTTACTGTAAGTAAATGAACAAGGTCCATATTAGCCTCCAGGGGAAGTGGCATTTCCTGAAGTTGTATCAGCTCATTTATGTGGTTATACAGAGAGTACAGTTTGTATATGTTAATTTTTTTGTCCTCCAAGTAGTCTGGCATGCCCTCATAAAGTGATATCAAGTCTTTCAGGTGGACCCCAAGTATTGGGATCTTAAAGTTACTGCACTCATTATAGGCACGTCGGTAACTATCATAATTTCTGTATGATGAAAGCAGTTCCGTCATTTCATTAAACACCTAAAAATAAAACCAAAAAAATCAAAATTGGTTGCTGGTTTTATTCTGCTCATACAGCACAAAAATTTCCCATGTTATTATTATTGGGTTTACTTGCAATGACTCTTTAAACGCTTTTTTAAAGCTTTAGGTTTCAAATGAAAGCTAGGTATTTACCTCACTTAATTTAACTATCTAGAATATATAATCGATAATATTATATATTATAATAATATAATAATATTATAGCTATAATAATAGATAATATTATAGTATATAATGTAGGAAGACCAGCATTAATGCTGGTAAAAGAAATAGGTTCCTCTCAGATCAAGGGGATGTGTATGTAGATAATGCATAGCACAAGCTCTCTGACCTCCATAAAAGCCATCATCTTCACCTTAAAATGTGGAATGCAATTCTTCAGCTTCCAGGTCAACAGCTGGAATTGCTGGAATTGGAGTCTTGGCAGAGAAACCCTACATTGTGATATGGTCCCATCACAGCATGACCAGAACTCCTACTACAGTTCAAGGTGGCACATCTGTGCTTTTCAGAAAACTTTTTATTCCATGGAAATGAAGAAAAAACAGTATATTTGACTTGTTGCAAAGACCAAATGAATCTTAAGTCTACCAGTATAAATATTTCCCTTGTGTAAAACCATAAAGGTACTGATTCTTAACCTTATAAAATCAATGGACTGATGTTTTCTTGTGGAAGTTCCATCTAACCCCTTGATTTTTAACCTTTGCAAACTATTTGTTAAACTTTAAAGTGTGTTCTCAAGACACTTATTAAGAGCCTTTATTTACTTGCTTTCTGTTGGGGCTTGTATACAGTATCTTGCCATAAAGAAGTTACTCAAATGATGGACAGACACATAGGTAGTCCACTTCTTGTAATGACAAAATTTGTAAAACAATATGCTTCTAATATAAGCTTGATAACTGGTTTTTACAGAACATGAGAGCTGCAACAGTTATCAGTAGGAGGTCATATTTCTGGTCTATACTTCAGGTATGCACTGTTCATTCAAACTGATTATACTGTGATTAAAACAGGTTCATTAGATACCTATGCAAAATCTTTCAGGCTCTAAACAAGTTAAAATAATACAGCATATTAATCTCTCAAGAAGCCATTTCACTGCTAAAAAATATGCTTTTCTTCACAGTTTTAGTAGGCAGAATCTCAAAAAAATGTATCTGTATTCCACAAGAATTCAAATGGAAATTACAACTGATTCCTAACATTTCATCGTATGTCAATGTGTGCATAGTAGGACTAAGTTTGTTCATGTCTGAACTAGCTAAAATCTGTCCCAGAGAAATCAGATGAACAAAACCAGTCCTTTCAGTTTTAAACTCAAAGTGCAGAGCTCTGTGCTAGTATTCATAGACTCGAGATGGTCAATGTTGCAATCAGTGACAATAGTTTTTTTCCTCAAATGTTCTAGGATCCAATCCTCTGCTTTTGTGCTTGAATGCTATTCTGTACAACTGCAAATAAATGAAAATGCAGCTTGTTGCATCTAAGTATTCAAAGAGAAACCTTAGAGAAGCTATAGAAATCTTGAAGAAAAGTGGGGTTGTAAGTGTAGGAGTAACTGGCACTGTAGAGATGAAATAACAAAGAAAACCCCTCCAAAACCAAAGGAATTCTTTCTTTTTTTTTTGTTTTTTCTCTCCTGGTTTTCTCTCCATCTTGTTCAACGAAATAAGATTTTTTTGTGTGTGTGCAGCAACAAAAAAAAGCTAAAGGCCATCTTTGTAAAACTTAGAGGAGTGATACCAACCTTAATTACATCATGAGGAACACATGAGCTTGTTTCCTTGAGTCTGGAAATTGAGCTGTGACAGAGACCTCCTATCACTGCCATTAATGTATTGAAGTTCTGCAGCTGGTGGAGCTTCTGTGTTGACATAACAAAATATAATTTATTAAAGTTCAAGTTGTTCACTACACACATCCAAATTTCCTCTACCGTCTTCCTCTAAAGTCTTACAAGTTTTGTGCAGTATCCATTTTGGTAATGAGCTGTGATTTTACTGGGTGCAACATACTTATTCTACTGTTATTAGATATTAATTCTGAAGATACACTAAATCTTCAAAGTACTTCCTTAGTACTTCTCCCTCTTCCCACAGCCTACCACAACTAGGAAACGCTGCCTATTATCTTGATTATGATTGCAGTTGAATTAGTATGCAAAGATTACCAATAGGACCATATCTCTTCTTTTATCCAGTAAGTCACATCTAGTAGAAATGCTTCTAATTATGGCCAAAGGCATAATAGTGGTTCATGCTTTGGACAGGGACAGTCACAGCTTGGAATCTCACTAGGTGATCCAAAAATAAGACTAGTTTTTCAGTGAAACCAGGGTTTTTTTAGAATGAATATGAGAAAGTAATGGTGCCATAATATCTGAATAGCTGATGTGAAACCACAGCATACATAAATATCCATGCTGTATGTATGAACCAGGAGACCAGTACCAACACTCCCAGCCAACCCTACAGTAGCAGCATGGGAAGAACACCTTAAGTGCTGTATCACAGAAAGACAAAATAAATGCTACACATGTCAAAATTTAACTGACCTGTGCAACATGAATGAACTTGATGAACACTTCAGCCCGAAGCTGTGGTGTTGGTCTGCTGAGAACCATCAGCTGCACCCACTGAGAGATACCATTGCAAAGAGCAATTGATCTTTCCATTGTTGGATTCTCCTTCACACAACTATTCACAATGTAGTTCTGATAATCTGAGAACTTAAAAAAACCAAACAACCAAAAAAATAAAAAAACCCAAATCGAAACAAAACAACAAACAAAACAGCGTAAACGAAAACTCATATACCTCATGATCTGTGTGCAGATAAAAGCCTGCTTTTCAAATGAAACATGCAAGATATATTTTACACCTTAAATATCCATACGACTGAAATTTCTCCTTGGTCAAACCTTTGTTCAGTTCAAAGCAGAAGGCTTCAACTAATTGAATTAGCTGAAAGCATCTTTTTGCCATATTTTGTATCACACCATTTACATCATACATCTCAGGAGCCTCAGCTCTCATAAAATTTAGGATGATGGCTATCCTCCCAGCTCAGTGGCTCCTTAGATACACTGAATCTAAGCTTCAACAGGGAAGGTTCAACTGAATTTAAAGTGTAATTTAGTAACTCAGTGATAGTTTAAGGAAATTAAGTGTTCAGTTTATGTATGTAGGTCACACTTCTGAATTAAGCTATACTAATACAAAAAGCAAGTTCAATGACATTAATATAAAACTTATACAAGACCATTAAGAATGAGGGCTACAGATTTGTTAATATTTTTAATGCAGCTTGTGAGATTCTCTTATTTAACCAAAATGTTATAAAATTGTTCTGTAGACACCTGTATGTACGAAATTGATTTTTTTTAAGCCATTCTTATCGGTAAAGTCAAGAAGAAGCAATCATTTGGTTTTGTTCATGCAATGCTTACCCATTCTCTTGATTTATCCAATAACAAGAATACACAAGAATTTGAATCATCAGAAAATGCGACATAGGGTTTATATATCCATTCTTTACTATGATCACTAATACTAATATTTTACCAAAAATTCATAGCTTTAATAGAGACATATTGCTTTCTTAAGGCCATAAGAGTATGCTGAATGGCATTGATCCTTAAGAAAAGGTCATAAATTGTCAGGCTGCTATTTCTTTTTTCTCTTCCTCTCTCACTTTCTCTCCACTTTTCAATTTTTCCACACATTTAATAAGAACTATTAACATTTTAAAAAGCAGATATGACAGCAGACATCTCTGGATTTGTCCTCTTATTAAATTAATAATAAGTAACAGTAATAAGTAGGGCTGTCTCTGAGATTACATAGTACTTACTTAAAATTACTGTTTGAATTTTGAACCCCAGCCAGATTTGGCTGGATCTTGAAATTTAAGCAACCACTTTATACAGATAGATAATTTTTCAATATCTGACTACATAATTACAGACTTCATAGCAGTTACAGTACAATTATGAAGCGGTTTGATTAGTTTATATTTTATTCCCGGCAGCTCTCACCTTCAGAAAAGAATTTTTTTTTTAATGCTGAACAAATTTATATCTAATATCCTACTTAAAGTTTTGAAATAATTTTGGTGTAAGAATTATTAAGGAGGTCAGCTTTAACAAGATTGTTAATGGCAGATAGGTAAAGAAGTCCAGGTACTTCAATAATTCAGGAGTCTGGGATTGCAATGACTAACTTATGAGTCTCAACAAGAAAAGAGAATCCAGATTCTTACAAAAGAGTGTACCTCCCTGTATTTTGTAACTCTAAGTTAAAATGGTTTCCAAACACCAGCATATCTGCCATTTTTGCTCTGTGAACACCACTCCCTGCATTTTTCTTCGCTGCAAGATATATGGTGTCTGAAAGATTTTGCTGTGCTATGTATGTTTAGGGGATAAGTATTTCTTCCTGATTTTCAAATGACTGAACCAATGAATAGTTATTCCTGTGACTGATAACAAGCAAGTAATTTGCAGCCTGTCTCCCAGGATATGCTGCCATGTTAGAATAACAAAAGGATTCTGTGGCTTAGCATACCATAAACATATTCTGCAAAGAGTTAATCTATACAGCTATTTATTAATTACACATTATTTTCCAATCTGAGGTCTTGGTAACTCAATTTATACCAAAACATATGCAGGACCCAGCACATGAAATGTGAACAAGTATGTAATTGTTGGAACTCCATGACACATCTGACACTCTATGCTCATTAATCATTAATTACTTTTTGTCTGCACAGAGCTTGAAAATGCGAAGAGTTATATAAGCTTTGCATATTATTACTGCCTACAGGCAGCAATCTGTGCATGACTTTGCTTCTATGTCTTTTTGAATTTAACAAAACATGAAGAGTCAAGTACTGTCAGCTAAAAAAAAAAACAAAACAATAACACACAACAGTGAAATTTTCCACAATCTGTTGAGAGCCCCTCTCCTGGTGAAACTTCATCATCAAATTGTGTTTCAAAAAAGAAAGAAATAAAACCAAACTCAAATCAACCCAAACCACTAAATAACAAAAACAAACAAAAAACCCTAAAAACCCCACTTTGCTTTCTTTGTTGTCATCACACTGACTTTGAAACCACCTTAGAATTTGGTCTCTAATGTTCACTTTTCTTTTCCATCTGTGAACTGTATCAGGTTTGAATAGAAGTAATGCTGTAGCATACAAGGGTGCAAGCCAGGGTGCATGGGGAATTTAGCATCTTATATGCTGCCAACATAGCTGAAAAAACAAAGCAAATGAAAGAAAACATAAATCCCTACAAAAGGAAAAGATAAATCCTTAAAAATCGTTTGTGTACTCGAAAGCTTGTGTAATAAAATATTTTAAACCCCCTCTTACATTAAAAAATGGCATTTTCTCAATTGTTTCCTCATCCCTAGTCTTTATTTTGTTATGCACAATACAAAATGGCAAGCAGAGTCCAGTGGACTTCTGTACAGACAGTCCATTAGTCACTGCAAAAGAATGCTGCACTGTTTTCTACAGCCACAGGAGGTTAGCATTCTAGGAGAATATTCCAAGTTTCCTTCATCCCATCTCGGCCTGGTTACTGACTTGAGTCAAAGGAGGCTGCTTGTTCCTGTGCCATACACCACTTGCTCTAACAGAAAGATAATTTGGAAGAAGACCAAATGTTTACTTCTCTTCCTTCCAACTGACCTTGCCCCAACTCTGTTCCACAGTTGCTTAAAAGGTTCACTCTCTCTCTCTCAAATGACTGCAGCAAAAGGGTATGTACTCAGAATAAGTGCCACTGGCCACCTTCAACACTCGTCAAACAAGAGTCTGGACACAGACTCAGATCGTCCAACAGCTTACACTGCAGGGTTAATCTTATAATATTACCCCTCTCCCATGTTTTCTATATTCTTCATATCTTTCTTTAAAATAAGTAAGTACATAAATAGATTTAAAAAATAAAAATCACTTACTGATATTCTTCTGAAAGACTTAAATTCAAGATAGGTAAGGTGGTCTGATAGCTCCTCCGGCTCAAGGTGATCAAAAAGAAGTGAGACTTTACGTTTCTTACTGGTGTTGGTCTTTACACGCTGTGTCAACTTCCTAGACCAATCCCTAGAATTTCTTTTAGACAAAACAGAATTACCCTGAGTTAGTAGTCTGAAGAGCAAAATTTTTGTCTCTCCCTAATACAAAAATATCACTGTTTTCAGTCCTTACTCAATAAAAAGTGAGTTATTTGAATTTCTAAACAGCTAGTTCCTCTTATACATTTGAGATTGCATGACAAAATACTGTTTAGTCTTTATACTGATGTAGCAAGTACAATATAACTATTATTACTAAACAGCACGAGATTATATATTGCACTTCCAGAACTACTATCCATAACTTTGTCTTCAGTGAACAGATCCAGTGCTCCTCCAATTAATAATTCTTACAGGTTTCCTTGACGAGCCTGAGTATGAACTCTAGCCCTACACTATTCACACATAGAGTAATGAAATTCAATTGAATTTGAAAAAGTAAAAAACCTCTTTCATAACCAGATATAAAATGTATGCCAAATTCTGCTCTGCTTTTGCCTGTACATTTCCAACCAAAGTACAAATTGACACTGTTACAGAGTTCCACAGAGCTATCTTAGTCTCCTTGATAACAGGGAAGGTTTTCTTCCCAAGAAAGAACTATATGATGTATAGCTGTAGGATTTTTTCTTGACAGGACAAGTAATCTTCTAACTAAAATCACAGAATCAAGAGTTTTACAATGTAATAAACTACATCTTTTCACTTACCTTTGTTGTTAAAAATATAAACACACTTTTTTAACCTCATCTGTTTTAACCAATCAAAGTATATTCTCCTCTCTCATTGACTTCAAGTGATCCTTCAAAGTCATTAGGCCTCTACAAATTTTCTAGGTTCCCTGGATAGAGTAAAATTTATCTAGCATAGAGAATCAGCATAAAGTCTACAGTGCAGTTAAATTCAACCTAAGCCATTCTTGAAATATATTCTGTTTCTCTATGTAATATATATATATATAAAACATCTATAATGAAGTGTAAACTCTTCTGAGGATAGGTAATATATGACTTATAAATTTAACCCACTGTAGGACAATTATGCTGCTATACTGGAGAGACATTATATTTGAATACAGGAAATTCAGAGCAAAAGTTTGTTTTCTGAGCATATTGAGACTTCAGCACTCACATTTGAGTTGTGTCAATTAGATGATAGTGTAACTCCTCACCATTAGCTTTAACCAGTTCTTGAAATTCCTCCATAGTTGTGGATAGTTTAGAATCCATTTTGAACATAACCCAGAACTCTGTAATCCAATACCTATTGCACATTGAAAATACAGAAACACAAAAATAAAGTTTTACTCTAACACCAGGAAGGCTGAAAAGTGATCCAGAATCATTTCAAGTGACTGAGTGGAATTACTAGAGGAGAATTACTCACTGAATACAATAGTTTGCTGAATACAATAGAATTACCTACTGAATACAATACAATAGCTGCAATATCCCACTTCATTTTTTCAATAGACCTATACAATAATCATGGAATCATAGAATCATAGAATCGTTAGGGTTGGAAAGGACCTTAAGATCATCTAGTTCCACCCCTCCTGTCATGGGCAGGGACACCTCACACTAAATCATATCACCCAAGGCCTCGTCCAACCTGGTCTTGAACACTGCCAGGGATGGAGGATTCACAACCTCCCTGGGCAACCTATTCCAGTGCCTCACCACCCTAACAGGAAAGAATTTCCTTCTTATATCCAACCTAAACTTCCCCTGATTAAGTTTTAACCCATTACCCCTTGTCCTATCACTACAGTCCCTAATGAAGAGTCCCTCCCCAGCATCCCTATAGCCCCCCTTCAGATACTGGAAGGCTGCTATGAGGTCTCCACGCAGCCTTCTCTTCTCCAGGCTGAACAGCCCCAACTTCCTCAGCCTATCTTCATACAGGAGGTGCTCCAGTCCCCTGATCATCCTCGTGGCCCTTCTCTGGACTTGTTCCAACAGTTCTATGTCCTTTTTATGTTGAGGACACCAGAACTGCACACAATACTCCAGGTGAGGTCTCACAAGAACAGAGCAGAGGGGCAGGATCACCTCCTTCGACCTGCTGGTCACGCTCCTTTTGATGCAGCCCAGGATACGGTTGGCTTTCTGGGCTGCAAGCGCACACTGAAGCTGGCTCATGTTCATTTTCTCATCAACCAACACCCCCAAGTCCTTCTCCACAGGACTGCTCTGAATCTCTTCTCTGCCCAACCTGCAGCTGTGCCTGGGATTGCTCTGACCCAGGTGTAGGACCTTGCACTTGGCATGGTTAAACTTCATGAGGTTGGCAGCAGCCCACCTCACAAGCGTGTCAAGGTCCCTCTGGATGGCATTCCTTCCCTCCAGGCTATCAACCGAACCACACAGCTTGGTGTCATCGGCAAACTTGCTGAGGGCGCACTCAATCCCACTGTCCGTGTCAGTGACGAAGATGTTAAGACCAGTCCCAACACCGATCCCTGAGGGACACCACTCGTTACTGGTCTCCAGCTGGACACTGAGCCATTGACCACATCTCTTTGTGTGCGGCCATCCAGCCAGTTCTTTATCCACCCAGTGGTCCATCCACCAAATTGATGTCTCTCCAATTTAGAAACAAGGATGTCGTGTGGGACAGTGTCGAACGCTTTGCACAAGTCCAGGTAGATGACATCAGCTGCTCTACCCCTGTCCATCATAGAAGGCCACCAAATTGGTCAGGCAGGATTTGCCCTTAGTGAAGCCATGCTGGCTGTCACCAAGCACCTTGTTGATTTTCATGTGCCTTAGCATGCCTTCCAGGAGAATCTGCTCCAAGATTTTGCCAGGCACAGAGGTGAGACTGACTGGTCAGTAATTCCCTGGGTCATCCATTTTCCCCTTCTTGAAAATGGGGGTTATATTTCCCTTTTTCCAGTCATCGGGAACTTCACCTGACTGCCATGATTTCTCAAATATGATGGCCAGCGGCTTCGCAACTTCATTTGCCAGCTCCTTCAGGACCCACGGATGAATCTCATCAGGACCCATGGACTTGTGCACATTCAGATTTTTAAGATGGTCTCGAACCAGATCCTCTCCTACAGTGGGCACAAGGTCTTCATTCTCACAGTGCCTGCATCTGCCTTCCAAGACTTGGGTGGTGCAGTCAGAGCCTTTGGCAGTGAAGACTGAAGCAAAGAAGTCATTCAGAACCTCAGCCTTCTCCAAATCCTGTGTAGCTAGTTCTCCCGAGAGCTTCCTGAGGGGGCCTACATTCTCCCTAGTCTAAATAAAAATAACTTAAAAAAACTAAATAGTTTTTATTTGCTATTTACCTGTAGAATCCCTTCCTGTTATCTTTAATACCTCTAGCTAAGTTTAATTCTAACTGAGCCTTAGCTTTCCTAACCTGGTCCTTAGCTTCTCAGACAACATCCCTGTACTCTTCCCATGCCGCCTGTCCTTGCTTCCACTTATTATTAAGCCTCTTTTTTCAACTGAATTTTCCTCAGGAGCTCCTTCTCCATCCAAGGAGGTCTCCTGGCCCTCCTGCTGCACTTCCTTCTGGTTGGGATGCAACACTCCTGAGCTTGCAGCAGGTGATCCTTGAATATCAACCAAGAGTCTTGGGCCCCTCTGCCCTCTAGGGCTGTATCCCATGGAACCTTCCAAAGCAGGTTCCTGAAGAGGCCAAAGTCTGCTCTCTTGAAGTCCAGGGCAGTGAGCTTGCTGCACGCTCTTCTCACTGTCCTGAGGATCTCAAATTCGAACATCTCATGATCGCTGCATCCAAGGCTGCCCTGGAGCGTCACATTTCCAACCAGCCCTTCCCTGTTGGTGAGCACGAGGTCAAGCATGGCACCTCTCCTTGTCGGCTCCTCTATTACTTGCAGAAGGAAGTTGTCTTCTACACAATCGAGGAACCTCCTGGATTGCTTAATATTAGACACAATACTACCAATGCTAGCACTGTCAGTTTTCACTGATGTTTAAGATATAGACTCAGTTAAAAACTGTGACCCAACAGTTCATGCACCAGCTTCAATGGATGTGCACAAAGCCAGTTGGGTCTTTTTGTGTAAAACTACTAAAGTGAACCTTGAAAAGCTGAAGCGGTATGTTTGCCCTTTTAATATCACCTTAACATATGCGAAAGCATTCTTACGTATGGCACATGGATAGCTGCAGACCATTACCTATCAAGCAGGAATACTCTTACCTCACAAAATAGCATATCTTTACACACAGCATGGAAGATTTACTTTCTAAAGCATTAAGATAGGTAGAAAACTGTTAAGGAAAACCACATCCATTCACATATGATATGAAATGTAACATGCTTGATACTTCCATACCTGTAAGCAATAGGAATCATTCTACTGATGACAAATAATATCAGTTTAGGGTTTTATACAAGTGTATACAAAGTATATCGCAGGAATCTTAGCAAAAGTTTATTGTACATATGACTACTGTGAGTAATACTGATGTAGCTCCCCAAGTACTGAGTAGTGTTTAGTGAAACGATTCTGCTTTCTACATGTTTTTTTTCTCTGCAACATGCTTCACAATTTCTAATAAAACTCATGCATTTGCACATCTCACTAGAATCTGAAACAATAACACTAAATTCATCAATTACTGCTTCTATGAAGAAAGCCTTTTCAGTTAATTACAATTCACTAAAGATTTTCAAAAAAAAGATGCTATTTTCTTTTAAATGCAACCAGCTGTATACAATGGTAGAGAAAAATGTGAAATGCCTCTCTCTGCAAATCTCACCTTTCTAACTACACAACACTTTTTATTTGACTTATTGTGGTAATTGGGAATATTTTTAGTCTATTAACTCTGTAAAGCACATTTTGATACTGTAGCCAATGTCTTTTGAAGACATGGAAATTCCATTTGGAAAATGGATTATACCTATCTTGCTTCTTCTGCTGTAGATTACACACATATTTTCAGTGCTAACACATACAACTTCATGAAAATACCCTGTGAATCCTACCACAATCTGACTGAAATTAATGGAAGCCTAAAACGACCAAAACTGAGGGGGTATACCACCCACAATGTAAGCACCCATGTTAAATGCTTACATTAGGCTGACTATAGAACCAGTGAGGTCTGAGTAAATTCCCAAATATTTTGAAGGGCCCTGAACTGACTGTCTGAATTTAAATGGTTCACAAATCACCCATAACCATATAAAAATCAGTCACGTAATTCAGGGAATGGAAAATGGTGAAACTGGGACATCTGCAAGGTTTTTCAAAATACAAGAGCCCAGGCTATCTGATCCATTCAAAACTGTTTTTAACTTTCAATGTCTTTACAGGGAGACTACAATGTCTATACACAGTAAAAAAATAAGCTTGCAAAATTACAAGTCTGATAAAAGTTTGAATCACTTCTCTGACTGTAGAAAACATTGCTTCTCAGAAACATACAAGCAATTACTTTCCTCCATTTTCAAAGACCATATGAGCATAAATTAACTGCACACTACAGCACATTTGGAGCTTAGCACACTTGATCTATCACTTGGTTAGAGAAGCAGCAGGATAGTCAGAACCCAACACTACAGTAAAGCTTGGTTGTAAATGATGCTGCTTTTAAAAGCCAGTAAGATACAGAGTTTGGGGAAAGAAAGGATTATCTAAATTAAATTGTATCAAAATTGGCTGGAGATTCTTAGCTTGTCAGGTCTGCTTCCTGTACCTAGTCTCCCATCTAATTAGGTGTAAACATTCTTTAAAGCTAAGAAGTCAGGCAATATATGCCGCAACTATTTTTTTTTAAAGGCTAGTATTGCCAATATTATCTAGTAGCTTTGTTGTGAAAAATGTAATGAGCCAGAAACACACTTTTATGACTCCAGGCAGTTACCTCAAAATAGGAGAAAATAGGAGGGAAAAGCTTATTATTTATTCCAGTGTGAGTAAGTGATAGTGTGAGTAAGAAATAATATTTGTTGAAAAATTTCATCTCCAGATGATACAATAGAATATTTTCAAGAATTGACCTTTTGTTCCTTGTTCTTCCACTTATATGGAGGACAGAAAGGAGAGAAAGAGATCTGAAACTTAGGCCCAGGTTCACAGAACTTAACTGAGATGCCTACATTAATCTTACACCTGCTAGATATTATGTCAAAGGCCAGTGGAAGGTGATTTATCCTACTTAAAATCTGAAAGGGAGTTTCATCTTTTGTTCTGTGGCTGATAAGCTAATCCCCCCCCAAAAAAAACAATCAAACCCCAACCCTAAACAAACCCAAAACACAACCAAAATCTGTGAAGAACGAGTATATTGTTTAAATAATGGCACAGTAATACACCCAAATATTTAATATCCTCTACTTACCCATTTCAAACTTGTCAAGTTATCTAATATTACCTTAACAGCAGGTGAATATTAAAAAAGGATATAGATCAATGAGTTTCTGGAGCATGTCTGCAGAGGAGATGATAAACTGATGCATAGCCAGAATTATCTTTAGCAGCTGGTTGTTTTGATATGCATTTCCTTCTAAATCTGAAAAAAAGAAGGAGTATTCATATTGAAATCTTGGTATAACTCGGTAAAAGAGGCTTTTTCAGAACACTAATTCTCATCAGGCCTGTTCACCTACGCTATTTCAAAAATAGCAGTAACCTGCTAACTTAGGAAGTGCATCATTTTTCTGATGAGTGCTGCATACCATGATTTGGAAGACCCTTACCAAATTTAAATAAATAAACAAGTAAATAAAAATAAGGCAAGCAAAAAAGCAAGTGTCAAAAGCATTCAAAATATCCAGATAGTTATTTTTAATTATCCCAGCCCAGCAATACACTTAAATGCTTAGCTTTAGGCAGATGAGTATAACCTTTGAAACAAACTAATGAATTGCAGAGCAAAAGAATTCAGTTACCGATCCATACTAGTCAGTTAGTGGCACAACTGAACTTATCAAACCGAATGTCCATATTCTTATGTGTTTGTAAGGCTGTTTGTATAGCTGACATACGTAACCCTGAAGTACATGCACAGGTTCCATAGAACGCATAGAACGAGATACAATGTATGTAGAAGCCCACAGGTTAACCTATTGATGCTCCCTGTGATGGACCTAAATATGCTAACACATTTCCTCAAATTATGTGTTACAAGGATGTCACTTGAAGAAGGCTTTTAGATGAGATATATCTTAAAGGTCTTGTGGTCTTTTTTTCCATATTCTGAAAACATCAAGGACATCAAATGTAGCAGAATGTTTAAAAGTTTTAATATCTGCAACACAGTAGTGAAAGTATTTGTAAATATTAACAGATGTTTTTCTACACTTGTCATAAGAGAACCAAAGTAACCTGAATTGGAATTAGACACCCTTGCAAATACAAAAGAAGATTTACCATTTTAAATCATTTTAAACACGCTGTCCTCTGTGAGGATAAATGTAATTATCACTTAAACCAACATTAACACGAACAATATACAGAAGCAATGCACAATAATGTCAAATGGAAGAGGAAGGTGAAATAGCAGATTTGCAGCATATGAAATGGCATCTAACATGGGGGTAAGGATTTTTAAATTGCACAACACCAAAAAGAACATTAAACTTAGCCCACTTGCAAAACAAGATAATCCATGTTAGTCATTAAACAAGAGTTTCCTATGCCCTTCTACAGGAAGGTACCAAATGTGAAGAGAGGACCCCGGAGCCCAGGTCTTTCTTTTTGAACAATACACTGGATCTTTCATAGAACTAATAAAGCCTGATTTCCTCTAGATCTGTCTCCACTATTCTTACTACACAATAGTCCTATTATCACAATATGCTCCCCTGAAAGTCTTTTCTTTCTCTTCCCCACAACACTGCCATAACTCCTCACTCATGCTTAAAGCAATGCATGCTGTGGTTGAATCCAGGCTGACCGCCAGACAGCAAATCAGATCAGACCACTGCTGGGCTCACACAACTACTCCTACACCAATGTGGGCACCAATGTGGATGTGTCTCTCCTACTCCTGCAATTCTTTGAGATTCATCTATTTCCATCAAATTTTAATTTAAGATGGCAGACAGGCTGACTCTGTTTTATGCAGAGTAGATGTAGTTTACTAGGTAGATGGCTTAGAATGGCCTAGATCTATAGTTTACAAGTTGCTGTTTATCTAACTGTGAAGCCCTGAAAGCAGAGAACATAGCTGGTATGGGTAACTTCATTCCTCTAGCAAAAATCCTAGTCAGTTTGGAGGACACTCAGCACAATAAACAGTCTTGAAACATCTTACTACAGCCAGCCTCTCAGGCAAGACAAATGGAAAAATCCTGATTAGCAAATTCTGGCAGAGCCTCTGTGACCACAGAGCACCCAACTCGGCACTATCAAGGCCAGAATGAGAACTTTATGCTCCAGGTGATCTTCAACAGTTAACATGAGAGACCATTTCTAAATCTACCTTCTGTAGTTATACTTAAATCACACTTAAATAAAGCCTCTTAACTTATACCACAAGTTCTCTGTTTTATAGCATGAACCAAAGTCTATGCATTCCCTGTTTCAAATCCTCATACTTACTCAGGCCTGTAGTATTTGGCATTTTGTACTCTTCCAGTGTCTTCAGGAAGAGTAAAATTATTTTAGGCCTTGCACACAGAGGCCTCCATCAATTTGCATCCATTTCACAGAACTTGGTGTTCTGCCAGAGCCTCCATCCAACTACTCTTGTTTAATCAGAAAAGCAGTTCAATATATGCTTAACTTGGAAGCCAAATGGTTATGTGCACACACACTGTTAAGTATATACAGCTGTAATTAAATTACCAACTTTTCAGAAGTGTCCAATATAGATCATCTCCAGCTGACAAAGACAGCAAATAATTCACTCTCCTAGCAGTTTTTCCTCTGTGTGTATTCCAAAATCCTCTGCCATTACGTAACATAGGTACCACTTGGCACAAAGCTCCAGATTGAATTTCTGTCCTGTCGAAGGTCACTTTCCCGTTTTACCATGATGCAGAGAAAAACAGTATGTTCTGCCTACTCTTAGTGATTAGATCAACACATTTATGGTATTTTCTTGCATAATAAAAGTGCATTTATGCTTCATAACATGGAGACCTAATTATGTCACAAAAGAGATAGGCTGCATTACGATGACATGCAATTATTTTGCACACACTAAAGCAGTACTAAGTATTGTGTTATCCACTCTCTCACCAAACTAAAAGGCTCATCTCCACAAAGAAAAACACTGTATTACTGACGGTTTAAAAACAAATTAAAACACTCCGCAGCAAAAAAATCTTAAAGTTCCCAGTACAGCTCAGCACTGAGCAGCAAGCCTTAATGGAATTGTAGCAGCACATAATTTTACAAACACATGGCACATCAAATATTTAATGTCATCTTCCTGCCCAGTTTTAAAAGGAAGCACTTTTCAAGTGCATGCACCATGATACAGCAAATGCTACTAAAGAGGAAAATATTGAGTCTGATTCCTCCTTTATTTATATTTCAAAAAGTCATAATTAAAAACAAATCATGAAGTTAAACTGGTAAAAGTCAAGAACAGACTCCAGCTCAGTTTCAGTTTCTGAACTGTCATTGGATCTTTCACGTCTCTGTCTACTAGGTCTCTTCTTCTCAGAGAGCCAACCTTCTAAACAGCTGTGTGTAAGGAAGTAACAAAAGTTATGTTTTAAACTGCCTCTCTGCAAATGGTGAAGCAAACGAGGGCTTTCCTGACTGTCTTGCAAGAGTGCTTCTGAATGCCTTTACAGCACTCTCTTGAACCTCCAGCAGTTTGTTTTAAACCTTTTGAGACCCGTTTTTGCTTCCGTTTGTATACCTGTTTCTAACCACACACCCTTCTGAGCAAAAACCACTAAGTGAATACTAAACAAAGTGGAATGGGTGTGTTTCACCCATTTATCTTAAAGAAAACTACAAAATACTGCATAATCCTGAGCTTTGTTTTACTGCAGCAAAACACAACCCACTGGTTACATGCGTTTCCTCATGTAAATGCCCTTATTGTACTAAGTTGGTTTAATAAATATTCTGTAAAACAAACAAGGCAACAGGAGTTGAATATACTTTTCCAGTCTTTAACTACAGGAGTGAAAACATAAAATCATTTAGGGCTAAATATTTTATTATCTATGTTAGTAACTCAAAGACACTAAAAGCTACGGTTACAATGCATGTGAGACTCAGTACATACAAGAGTGAGAATATCCTAATCTAGGTCCATTGGCCAATCTATTGCATGATCCAATTGGTGTCTCTCTGTTACCTGTGATTTAGAAATGAACTGACTTGTATCTAATGAATACTTGAAAGAATCAAAGTATTCAAAAGCCAACAAGCCACACTTTAAGAACATACTGCCTGCTTTTCACCAAGTGCTGATAGCCACCAAGCCATATATACTTAAGGAGTATGTTTGATAGACAAGATAATTGTACTGAGACCTTCCCACTCATGAGTGCAATATAAGGCAACAGGAAGATTGCCAAGGATGTCTCAACTGAACTGAATTCTGCAATAAAGTTAGTTTTCCTAGGTCTAAGAGGCCTTCATTTCATAATCAGGTTCCAACTTTATCACCTAGTGTACCATTTGAAATGAATCAGAAGTGAATCACAGAGCACTGACATCACATGATCTGTAACTAGGCTACCAGGAACATGAATAACTTCTAAACTCCCCTAAGTCTTTCAGTGGTTATCAAAAAGTAGCATCAAAAACTATACAATGCAAGAAAGCATCAAGCACTTGACAGGAGGTCTTGTGTCGGAGTTTAACCCCAGCTGTCAGCTAAGTACCATGCAGCCACTTGCTCATTCCCTGACCCTCTCAGTGTGACAGGGAGAATTGGAAAAAAAAGATAAAGCTGATCGGAGCTGGCCTAGCTAGAGCCACAGCCGGCACGCTTCAGCGACCGCGAGGGTCAACGGAGATGAGGAAAATCAGAGGGGATAGCGCAGAGCCATCGCGATTCCCGACATCTCCGGATCCCCGAAGCCCCAGCAGCCCTTGAGAGAGAGCGGCTGACGTGGCAGGAGGCGTTCCCACGGGGCGACCACCCCCCTGCCCCTTGCCTTGAAAGGGCCTCGGGGAGGGCAGTGAGGAACAAGCAGGTCGTGTTGCTGACCCTGTTGCTGGTGTCCGACTGCGGACCAATATGGTCGCCTCCAGAAAGAGAGCTTGCAGTAAGAAGACTGCAGCAACTCAGACAGAGACCCCGTCCCAAACCGTGGCTGTTCAGGTCTCTGGATGCAGGGAGTGCCAGAGCCTGCTGCTGCCGGGGGAGGGAGGACAGCATTCCACCTGCGTGAGGTGTGAGCAGGTAGAAGATCTGCTTAGCCTGGTGGCAAAACTTAAGGAGGAGGTTGAGACGCTGAGGACCATCAGGGAGTGTGAAAGGGAGATCGACTGGTGGAGTAACTCCCTGGCGTGCCAGTCAGAACTGTTCCAGGAAGATACCCCCCAAAAGGGGAAGGACCCCCTGCCCTCTCAGACACAGGGGGATGGCCTGAG